TCCTCCAAATCCCGCGGGATCCGCTTTTTTTGGAAGCGAAAACACAAAAAATGTAAAAAAAAGGGTAACCGGACGACCTCGACCCGCTGCCCGGCACTGCCATTGACACTGACCTGGTTGCCCAATTTCCCCCACAATCGCCACAAAAAACCCGATTCCGAAGAGAGACCGGGTCTTGACGCGTGCCGCAATACTCGACAACAAATTAACCTCCGGGCTGGTACGGATCCGCGACGCCTCCCGGAACGGCGGCGAGCGCTCAGGTGACGGCTCTGGAATGTGCCGGAAGAAGAAATCGAAGAGATTATGAGTAATCGGATGTGAAAGAATTGGAAACGGGAATGAAATGTCATGAGATATCAGGGAAGGAAGTGTAACAACGAAAGGCCAAAAAATCCCAGAAATTTTTGAGATTTTTAGGTTGAAAATAAGCTTTTCGAAGCTGATGTACAACATTTACAATAGAAGCCAAATTTTCTCTCGCAAAGATTGCAAAAATATGGCCAAAAAACTTCATTTCTGGTTGACTTGTCATGTTGCGCCTATTTCGTTGTCAAAGCCCGTTGAAAATCTGCCGCTGCAAGTGCGAGCCAAGGTTTTTGAATGCTGGATTTATGGCCTAGGCGTAACGTGTGGGCCAAATTCCAGAGAAATCTGAGCGTCGCACATCTAGAACTTTCAATTTTCCTTATGAAGCAAAGTTTGCAAAGATTTGGCTACAGATATATTTTATCGTTATCCGCCTGCCTTAATTCCTTTTTGTTAGTGATACCGACATCATAAAGTAAATATTTGGCCTGTGTTCTACATATTTCACCAACATTTCCCTCTTCAGTTACAGCATTTTTATTTCAGATCCCCTCTGATCCAAGTACAATATCGCACGCGCCATTCCCCTTTGGCTGTTCAGCCAGACCTCTTCCAGAATGTTCCGGAGGTGTCTCTAAACTTGTCGTGTATTTCGCTTCCACCAGAGAACACCCTCTTCTTCTCCTTATCCCTTTATCTGCTGATCGCCCCGTTTCAAAACCTGCGAATTGCCGTGATCGCGGGCAGAATCGCGCGCTTCCCGATGCGGCTTAGTGCATGTATGTAGGTTAGGAGAACTCGAATCTTAATTCGATTATCACACATTCGACTGCGTTTCGTAACAGTGAAAATTCTCGGGGCGATTGAGTAATTCGGAGCCGGAACTCGCTAAAGCGCGCGAGAAAAGGAGGGCACATCTGACGGAAGCACACGTAATCACAAGCAAATTGGGAGGCTACGGTAGAAGGGGGGCTGAATTTTGGCATCACATATCAACAGTAGGCTATGCTAAGTTTTAAGGGCTAAAAAAGTAATATTTTGGACTGTAAAGTTGAAAAACCGCTGAAATATATAGTGAAAATTCAATGAAAATTCGATAATTTTGCAAATTTATAGTGCCGAAATTTTGGCATTCTCTTTCAATTGTGATGCTCAACGTCAGTGCAAAAAATCAAATTTTTGCATGGGAAATTCGCAAAGATACGATCAAAAGTTCACTGAGACTCATTTTAAGCACCCGTCTCCGAAAATCATTGAGTGTCTCGACTGTGTCAGGAAATCAAAACCCAATATTTTTTGCAACTCGATAGAGGACGCTTAAACAGTATATCTGAAAAAAATTTGAAGAAAATATGAACTTGGCAACCTGAGAAATTCGACTTGAAGGAAAATAATTTTGAATTCGTAAAATTTTCAAAAATTTTCTTATTGAATTTCTCAACGTATTCCCAAAGTTGTCTGAATTAACAAGAAATGTCATAAAAAACAGTCCAGTTAACTTGCCAGACCCTCAAGAGTTCAAAATTTTCCAAAAATCCCAGAAAACCCCTCAAAACGCAGATCAACCCGTTAACCCCAACTTCAAATCCCCCCTTCAACGCCGGCGCAACAAAATTAGATGTAAAAGTGAAATCGGTTCCCGAAATTCCCTTTCATCCGAGAAAACGCATCAGGAATTGAGAAAAACAATCGGATTGCGCGAAGAAAAGGTGGTGACCCAAATCCCGCAAGCGAAATTCATCACGGAGAAGATCCCCCCTCAGGGCGCAAGGGAATGGAAATTTGAACGCATCGAGTCATGCAATCGCTGCAGAAATTGCATCCCGGAAGTGGTGGGGAGTGTAGACTAAAGGGATGAGGATGGACTGAAAATTGAAAAAGCAAAAAATGTCGTCAAAACTGGAAGGGTAAACTACAGTAAGAAAACAAATGGGATTTATGGTAAACGTCTTTTTATAGTTGATTTTTGTGATAGGAAAATAAATTTCGAGATTTTTTTTTATTTTTTTCAGATTGGAGGCTTTCTGAAAAAAAATTTAAGATTTAAAAAAAATGACGTCATTTCAGAAGTAGTGAATAGATTTTTATGAAATCAAAGGCTTTGGGCTTACAGTTCAAAGCAGTTGTCAAAAATAAATCCTTCCAAGAATCTAAAAAATCTAACAAGGAAAGTACTTCTATGGGGTGTGGAATTACCGGTCGAGATATATATCAAAAAATTCGCAAAAATTTTCTGATTCAGAATATATATAAATTAGCTGCCTAATTTTGGTCTAATGACATGTTTTTGTCCTCAGAAGTTTTCTCGCGACACCATGCAAGTGTCTTTTTGACCGTGTTTTTACCAATAAAAAAATTTTGTTTTGTGCTAAACTAAATTCTGAGGCCTTGACAAGCCTTAAAATATCAAATTGGATTACAACTACACCTTAAAAGTAGTTCCAATGTAAAAAATGGGTTCTAGTGTGGCAAAAAGAGTCGAACCCGTTCCCCTCGGATTTCCAATCTAGCGCTCTAACCACTCGGCCACACCGCTCTCTTCCGAAGGAAGAGACCGAGCGCGCTTTTGTTGCCGCAGATTTTTTCCCCGAGAAAAACATTTATTGAAAAAACTCGCTGATAGACCAAAATTAGGCAGCTAATTTTTATATATTCTGAATCAGAAAATTTTTGCGAATTTTTTGATATATATCTCGACCGGTAATTCCACACCCCATAGAAGTACTTTCCTTGTAAGATTTTTATTTTGCGAAATCTTGAACGAAAAGTATCAAAAACCCTCATTTTTCGTAAAATTTCGTTGCTTTTTAGGGACCTCAAAAATTTTGAAACTTATTTCAAAACCTATTTCTGGCCAGAAAATATAAATTTTGCAGTTTTTTTCGAATTAAAACCTCTTCTTTCACCGTGAAATTTCGCTTTCAAAATCTAAAAATCTCGATTGTTTTTGTCGAATTTCCCTTTCTTTCGCCTTTATCCCAAATCCGGAGCGGCACACTTTCGGCGGATAATGACTGCTTTCACTTCTTCCGACTACCTACTTTCACCTTTGTTATCCCCCCAATCTTTTTTTTATCCCATGTTTTTACGCAATGCCCCGATCCGCGAGAATTACGGAATCAATGGGGATCGGGAGGGAGGAAAAAACACTCCAGAATCCGATCAGATTCATTGAAAAGTGAAAGGAAAGGGGTACTGTAGAAAATTCGAGAGGAAAATTTTGAGATTTGGAGGGTAATTAGATAGTTATTAGTGGTATTCTTACGGTATAAGGTATAAAACCAAATTACAAAAAGACTACCTCTCCCGTATTTTACAATTTTTTTATTTCTGAATCCATTTTTGCCGGCTCAGTTTTCATTTCCTCCACTGTAAAAAAATAAAAGACCAGTGCACTGTGCGAAAAAATTCCAAAATTTTTAATGCACAGTGCAGCAAAAACACATTTTGCTTCCCCGTATTTTACATTTTTTTATTTCTGAATTCATTTTTCCCGGCTCAATTTTCATTTCCTCCACTGTGCAAAAAATAAAAGAATACTGCACAGTGCGAAAAAAATCCAAATTTTTTAACGCACAGAGCAGCAAAAAATTTTTGGAAACATCGTATTTTACAACCTCAAAATTTTCATTTACCAATTTTTTCGAAACCCTTGACATCCATCTGTTTGATCACTGAACTTTAAAATGTAATTCCCCTGTCTGGATTTGAATTACTCATCCTTTTTCGTCGGGATTCGCAGACGTTTTTTTGTCGAAAGAAGGGCGGAGAAGGTACGAAAAACGTGCCGACAAAACGGAAAAAGGACGTCTGGACGGGCAATCCCGGTCACGTTGGTAAAAAATAAATCTTTTCAAATCGAAATCACCCTCTTTTACAACCCTTTTCAAGTCAATTTGCAAATTTTGTAGGCTAAAATTTTTGTTAAAAACTTATTTTTTATAAAAAAAACTTGATCGTCGAAGGCAAAAATTTTAAAACCCATCAAAAACATCTTCAAATCACAGTATTCGTTCCACTTTGTACCAGACATCCTCCTCAAAAATCTAAAAAATTTAGAATAATTCCTGGCCAAAGTTCCCATAAATAAAAAAAATCGGAAAACACTGTGGAGAGGGTCAAACAAAGGGTTGGCGGGTACAAAAGTCGGTTTTTATGGACTTGGCGCCTGATTTTTTTGGACTTTGATTCAAATTACCAAAGAAATTTAAGAAAACCGTTAATTATTCAGGGCAAAAAACGGCTGGGATTCCAAAAAATAGTTCAAATTTCTCCCCTATTCGTGTTGAAAATTCACAAAAATATATTCCAAAATATCAGCCGAGGTATAAAATTTATTTTTCCACTGAATATTAACAATATATCTCTGAATATTTTAAGTAGAACATCAAAAGGCATGGGCCAAATGAGATAAAAAGAAATTGTGATAACAAAAAATTTTGCTGGAGGCACTGAAAGACGAAAAATAATATTAATGACCGATATGGCACGGGAATTTACAAAACAAAACTGGGAGAAAATAAAAGAATAAAATCAAAAGAAAATATTAATGGGAAAATGTCTAAAACAATATAAGAAATTCAAAAACTTCAAAAACGACCCAATATTTAGCAATACTATTCCTGCTACCTTCCTAATTCAACACTCCTATCCCTGGAATACAAGTTATCATTTATCAAAACAACCTTATTTTAGAAGTACTTCTTCTGCCTGGTCACAGGAGTCAGCTGAAGATTCTGAGATGCCTCTGACTGGTTTCTTGTGACGGTAGCACTTCTAGTCGACGTGAATGTCCTTCTTACCACCATTTCCCGTTGATCCGGAGGTGATCCTCTCGTCAATGAGGTGTTTGATTCAGCTCGACTCAGGCTCGGTTCATGCTGGAGACGTTGCAATCTGATCATCAGCTGGCTCCGTTCGCTTCTCACATTCTCCAGCTCACTTTTCACGTCTTCAGAGTACTTTTCCAGCTCCTTGCAGCGCTGTAAAAGTCCTTGAATGGTCCGATCATGTTGTTTTAGGAGTTGCTCCTCCTTTGCTTTGACGGCACGTTGAATCTGCCGTTCCTGTTCGTCCTTTCGACGGGCCTGGACTTTCTTGGTGTTGTCGTCGAGGAGTTCGTTCATTCTTCGCTCCAACGACTCACAGGTTTGCTTCCATTTGGACATTTCTCTCTCTTGTTGGTTGAGGGCTTGTCCGATCTGTCCTTTTTCGGCTAGAACTTCTCTCAAAGCGGCTTCTTTGCGACGGAGCTCTTCGTGAATCTAAAACACATAACAATAAACCAAATTCTTCAATATTTTCCAACTATTTCACTCTATACGACCAAAGAATCTCACACATCTTTCATCGTATAAAATGTCACTTTCCATATTTCAAGGCTTGAATTCTTACCAATTTCTTGCTCTGTGTGAGTGCATCGAGTTCTAGTTGATTTCTGTGCATCTGATTTTTGTACTCCGACAGTTCAACTTGGATTTCATGACGCTTCTTTCGAGTCTCCTCCAAATCTCGTTGCTGGTCCACTTTTTCGACCAAAAGTCGGTCGTTTTGTGCTCGGAGGTCATTGACTTCGTGTTGGAGCTCACGTTCCTTCTGAAAACATCATTTTACTCATATAAACTCGAAATCAAAAACCAAAAAAAAAATATTTTTTTAGCCAACTACAACACCTGAACTCACCTTTTCAAAATAATTGATCCTATTCACCAAGTTCTGATTGTCGTTCTTCTCCTGTTTCAGTTGATTGAACAGTTCGTTATATCTGATTTCCGAGCGTTTCAGTCGTTGCTGGGCATCATCCAATTCCCGCCTCAGGCGATCCGAATTCTCGTCCATTCTTTTCAGGTCCTAAAATAATAAAACCGTAAAAATTATACCTAAAACACCCAAAAAATATTCCCTACGCCATTTTTAAAACACCTTGTATTCTCCAAAACAATTACGTTTTCAGTTTGAGATCTACGTATTCAGCTGTAAACGCAGTAATTATCCGCTCCTTTTAGCTCAATTACTCCCCTCCAGACAAAATAGACTACAAAATTTCGTTTTCAAACTTCACTATCTTACGACAACTTCCAAGAAACTTCTGAAACAACTCTTATTCCATCTTAAATCCACCAAATTTCCCACCAAATCATCATTATATTATCCATGTCCCACCTATCCCCCCCCTAAATCAATTTTCTTACCGTAATCAGTCTTTCATTGTCGATTTTGAGTACTTTCACGTTGTCATCGATTCTTTTGGAGTCATTTAGTTTCTGAATCATTCGTTTATTCTCCCGTTCCATCGATCTATAATCCTCTTTCATCTCGTTGTACTCATTCGAAATCTTATTGAGTTCATGTTGTTGTGATTGAAGGCGTTCCCTGATTTCTTGGGCCTCCTTCTCGACTGTCTGGGATTGCTCGACCAATGTCTAAAACAATAAAAATTGTAACACATCATTTTAAGACCAATTTTTCAACTTTTACCTACTACAATATCCGGAGGCCTAAAAAAGCTCCAAATTCCTTCAAACATCTCTTCAAAATCAAAAATAAAAAGCCGCGAACAAAATCTCACAGCGACAACACATTACGCAACTAAACATATCGAAAAACTACCTCTTGGAGATACTTTTCCACTAGTATATACTTCTTTTCTGTTGTGTGATATGCCGGCCATGAGTGCTGGATTGCCGGAATATGAGTGGCTGGTGGTAGCTAAAATCAAATGGGTGCTCACAACATCGAATAGTGTCACTTACAAAAAAATTACGACATCAAAAACTGATTTTTTCTAGAACAACATCGAAAACAGGTGTTTTTTGCGAAAAAGCAGTCTTTTAGATATAAAAAAACTAGATAAAGCTGCAAAAAGCTAATCTGTATATTCTCCATACCTTATTCAAGTCCACAAGTCGTTGGTTTTCCCGCTGCGAGTCTTCAACGACCTGGCGCAGCCTATTTTGGCTTGACTCGGCGGTGTCAACCCGATCTTGTAATTTCTGAATCGTCTCTTTCAGACGGCCTTCTCGGACCTCGCATTCGAACACCAACTTCTTTAGGCGATCCAATTCATCCTAAAATCGCAACCTCATAAACATAATATCAACTTACAAATGCGGCATTTAATCTTCCCGTAGCCTCTTTCCTGGCCATTTCAGATGACAAAAATTGATTTTTTAGATGAGCGGCTTCATTCTCCTTGTTCTTGAGATCATTTTCATGCTGTTTCTGGCTGGCTTGAAGAGAAATAAGCCGCATTCTCAACGAACTCAGTTCTAAATCAGCAAAATAACCATGGATAATATAAAATTTCTCATTTTTGACACAATCAAATCTTTAATTTCATTTCTTACCTTCCAAAGCCGATTCGGTCTCTTGGATCTTGCTCTTTCCGTCCATTTCCCTCCGTTCCAGCTCCATCTTTATTTGTTTTAACTCGGCTTCTTGTTTTGCTATCCTCAATTCGAGCTGATTTCTCTCTTCTCCATTATGCTTTAGCTTCTGTTCGACCGTGATTCGGGTCTCTTCCAAGATTTCGATTATTTCCCGGGCATTCATGAGGAGCATTGAGGTTGATCGAGAGTCGATTGGGCGTTCTTCCACCTCCAGATCTGATGAAATTATAGTCGAATCGGCATGATGAGGGCTCGGAGAGCGAGATCTGTGGCTGGTGTGGGCTGAAATAAAAATTTTTAACTCAGAAATAAGTTTTTAATAGTTTAATATTTACCAAAATCCGGCATTTCTTTATCTACTACAATATAATTTTCACCGCATAGAATGTCGCCATCTATCAAAACCTACTTTCCCATTACTCTACAGTCCAAATAAGATCAAAACAACCTAAACACTGTACAATTTCACCTATACGTAACCTACCAAAATGTGATCGTATAAAATGTCCCCCAACCCCAAAAATGCATTCAAAACAACTCCTTACCGGCCAAACTTCCCACTCGTCTCGCATATCTCTCCAGATCGGTCCAATTGTCTTGCAATTCGTTCAATTTTCCCTTCAGAACATTCAAATCTCCCTTCAATTGATGATTTTCTCTCTCCGCGTTCTCCAATTTCTGGTTGTCCTTCTTGGTCTCAGACTTGAAGACTTCCAGCTCCTTGGTTGCAATTCTGTGTTCCTCATTCTTTGCTTTAATCTCACTTTCCAGTCTCTTTATCAAACTCGTTTTTTGGACCATTTCCTTTTCCGTTTTCTCGATTTTTACGCAAATTTCTTCCAATTCCTTGGTCCTCTTGTCGCATTCTCTTTCCAAAAATTCTGCTCGTTCCTGTGCTTCTTTTAGGAGTTCAGACTGATTTGCGCTGGAAGTTTCAACTTCTCTTATTGTGGTTGATATTGAAGTTAACTCCGAGCGGGTTTCGACAAGCTGGCGTTCGATGGTGTGCTTCTGAAAATGAGCAAAACTTATTACAAACCCTTTCAGAAGCCTGCAGCTTCTTTTTCAATCATTTTCATCCACAAAATTCCAAATGAAATCATATAATTTCAATTTTTCAAACTTTGGATGATCAACATCAAGTATAACATAATGTCACCTCCTTATACCCACAACTCGCGACTAAATCGTCCATCCCGGCTTAAACTAGACCCCACATTTACGACTAACACCAAATTCCAATCTCTTACCTCTTGGACGACATTATTGTAGGCCTGTTTTTGCTGTTCCGATACTCGATTCAGCTCATCGATTCTGACATTCAAGCTTTTCAGGTCTCTCTTTGAAAGGCTTAGTTCATCCACAACACTATTAATCTCTTTGGTCTTCTCATTCACTTCATTTTGCAGCTTTTCCTTCAATTTTCCAAGTTCACTCAGCTGATTGTACGAATCCTTGAGCCTTTCTTCCATTCGATTGTTTTCTTCTCGCACTCTCAGGATTTCCTTTTCCAACTGGTCGTAACGGAGCTCCAAAAGAGAATTTTTCTCTGTTTCTAAAATTTTTGTATATAATCAATGCTTGATAACCTTACTCTAAAGTTCGGGCTTTACAAAATTTTAATTTCAAATCAAAACTTACGTCTAGAATATTTGCTTTCACTAGCTTCTAGGGCTTTCTCGAGATCCTGTACTCGATGTTCAGAGTCATAGAGCCGAGTTTCCAGAGTTTTATTCTTTGAGGACACATCCGAGAGTTGATTCCTGAATGAGTTCTCTTCCTCCGATAATCTGGCACTCAGTGATTCTTTTTCTTCGCTAAAAAGCGCATAAAATTACCATTAACCACCTGAATAACCATAAAAATCACCAATACTTGACATTACCACCTACTACAGCATAAAATCCTCCTTACTTTAGTTCATCCAGCTGTTTCCTTAGTTCCAGGACCAGCTCAGCCGCTTTCTTGTTCCTTGCTTCAACATCTAGCAGTCTTTCCCTCAGGTCATTTGCATTTTCCTCCGCTCTTTCTCGATTTTCGTCCGACCTTCTCAGTTTTTCATACAGTTCCTGGACATTTTGGTCATGTTCCCTTCGTAAACGGGCCAATTTCTCGTCATGGTCGGCTCGCTCATGATCCAAGGCCTGTGTGAGATCATTTACGTCTTTTTTGAGCTCGGAATTCTTTGACTTGAGCTGATTAAATTGGAAATTAAAACCGGATGAGATTTCGGAAATGTGCAAATCCTTTTCGTGAATGGTTTCCTTGGCTTGTTTGAGTTGAAGAGAGGTTTCATTTAGGTCGATGCAAAGGCGTTCCTGCAAATATCATATAATTTAGGAATCAATATCTAATTTTCAGACCAGTTGAAATTTTTTTACAAGGAAAATTACTTCGATGCGGTATGGAGTTACAGGTGGAGATACATATCAAAAAAATCGCAAATTTTTTCTGATTTAGAATGTGTAAAAATTAGCTGCCTAATTTTGTTTTGTAAGGGCGAAAAAATCCTCAGAACTTTTCTCGCAACACCACGCAAAGCCTTTTTGGCCAAGTTTTCACCAATTCAAAAGCCTTGTTTGGAGCTAACAAGGAAAGTACTTTTATGGGGGCTCCTACTTTTTGACGGGACATACCTCAAAAAATCAGAAAAAATGTGCTGATTGTCGTGGTGAAGGGCTTAAATCTCCGTAGGAGATGAACTGAACAGCCAGAAAAGACATTTTTTATTTCGAAAAGCCTCTTAAATTATCTTTGAACATCCTTACTTGTATTTTACAGCAAAAATACAAAAAATAAAAAAAAATCACAAAAGGGAACTCGAACCCCCCTCCGCACAAACCCCAGTCTTCTGCGCAACCAACTGCGCCACTCACTCATCGGTTTCCCTGCCTTTCAAATCGTCTTTTATTCTTTCCTCTTGCGAATTTCAAAACTTTCGACGGCCAAAACATGCCAAAAAACCCAAAATGGGCAGCTAGGATTTATATATCCTTGATCAGCACATTTTTTCTGATTTTTTGAGATATGTCCCGTCAAAAAGTAGGAGCCCCCATAAAAGTACTTTCCTTGTAAAGTAAACCCTGGCATCTTGACAAGCCCTACAATATCAAATTTTATTGTCTTAATAGTAGTTCCATTGTAAAAAAGGGGCATTTGCGTGGTGTTGCGAGAAAACTTCTGAGGATTTTTTCACCCTTACAAAACAAAATTGGGCAGCTAATTTTTACATGCTTTGAATCAGAAAAATTTTGCAATTTTTTGATATATGCCTCGACTGTAACTCTGCATCCCTTAGAAGTACTTTCCTTTTTAACTCAATTTATTTTATATACCCTACCTTCAAATTCTGAAGTGAATCCAGCTTCGTTTGCAGATCGATGATCTTCTTCTCGCTGTCCTCGCTGACGTCCGTTCTCGCCTTCTCCAACTGTTTTTGCAGTTGACTTTTTGCATTGAGGAACTGATTCCTTTGCTCTTCCAATTCCTCGGCCAAAGCGTCTCTCTGTCCAGCCAATTCCCGCAGCTGGCTTTTCAATTCAATTTCGTTTTTGTGGAACGCATCAAAATCCATATTTTGGCGGGACAGCTAAACAAAGCCATTAAAAATTTGCCAAAAAACATAAAAATTTTCAAATTTTACCTACTACAATATAACCAAACCCAATTTTTTTGTCAAAAAAACAAAAACTATTACCTCCGTCTCAACCTCGACAATTCTCTTATTGTAGGCTTTGTTTCTCATCTGTTCTTCGTTTAGCATCGCCAAAGTCGATCTATTTTCACTTCTGAGGGACTCATTTTCCACCCAAATGTCTTGAAATCTCTGCTCCAAATCTTGCAAAGCCAGTTGATTATTCCATAATTCGGTGGATTTCTGTGTGTTCTCGGTTTCAATAACCTCCAGACGAGTTGTTATCTAAAAAAATCAAAATTTATTCAAAAAATTTCAAAAATCATCATTTTTTTCCTAAAATAAGGTAAAAAATTGCCCAAAAAGCAGTTCAAATTATATCAAACTACTTTCAAAATTTTCCGAATCCAATATCACTTACTTTTTCGTACTGTCCACTAAACATCTCCGCTTCAGCTTTCGACTTTTTGAGTTCTTTCTCCAACTGGCTTACTTTTTTCGCATTTTCCGTGGATTCCAAGGCTTTTGCTGAAAAAATCAAGCCTTTATCCCATTCAAACCGTATCCATCACCAATATGATTCAATTACCCACCTTTATAAGTCGAAACCTCCTGATCCGAGAGTGTTTTTGTCTCCAAAATCTCGGTTCTTAGCCTTGTAATCGTCTCATTTGATTCCAATTTCTCAGCTTGGAAGTTGGCGTTCTCTCGCGACAGCTAAAATAAATTCATAAGTATCTCAAAGTGTATTTTCAACATTCTATTTGATAATAAATTACCTGATCAATATGTTCTTCCTGTTTTTTGATCATTTCATTTTGTTCGTTCAGCTCTCGATCCAAGGCTGCGATTGTAATTTCCTTGGTCTCTAGCTCTTCCTTAAGTGAGTTAATACGTTCTTCGTGAGTCTTCTGAACTTTTTTGGCATTGGAGAGGTCAGTTTCTAAAAATAAAACACAGAATTCGACATCTTTTTGATATATTACACTTGACAAAAAAAAAAATAAAAATCTCTCGAAAATCTCCCCTTGCCATATCCTGGATCAAAATTTTAACTTCCTTACAATTAATTTCACCCCTCATACCACTCTAAAACTACCAAAACCATAACTTACGAAGCTGCTGAATCTCCCTTTTCAGTGCATTCACTTCCACATTGGCATCGACCAATTGCAGCTGAACTTTTTGGAGTTCTGCCCTCGTCTCTTCTGTAATTTGTCTCTGGGTATTTACTCTTTCATCGGCCCGTTTTTCAATCTCCCCAATCTCATCAGTGATTTTATTCTGCCTCGAATTCCATTCAGTTTCCAACCTCCGTCTCTGTTCTGTCATTTGTCGTTGAAATGAGCCCCTCTCTTCTTCCAACTTCTTATTCAAATCCGAAATTGTAAATCGGAGTCCTTCTTTGTCTATTTCAAGAGAATTCACGCGTTCTTTCAACTTTTTCAGCAACTTTTCTTTCTCCGACAGATCCGACTCCCTAAAACAAGGTCCAAATCAAAATTTCAAATTAAGACAGATCCAAAACTATACGAAAAGTTTATCTTACAATCTGGTCTTGGTCTGTTGTTCAGTTTGGAGCTGTTTTTCGATTGATTTTTTATCGGCCAACGCGGTTTTCAGTTGACTTTCCAAGCCGTCGGCTCTTCTTTTTTCACTGCCTGCCCTTGTTTCCACCGTTTCTAGCTGATCTTCCAGTCGATTTAGCGTCGTTCTGACAGCTCTGACAACGTCATGAGGATTCGAGTCTACATCATCTACAAAAAATTATATTAAATAGAAAAATTTATATTATTTTAGACAAGTTTTAAAAATTTTACCTCCAGAAACTGAATTTCCAATATTTGGGAGCTTGATAATTCGTCTGATGGCATCATCAACCCGCTCCTTTTGCTCTGAGATGTGTTTCAATTGGCTTTCCAATGACAAATTTCGTCGATGTCCGTCCAATTTTTCATTTTCCAGTTCAGAGTTCTTTTGCATCACCTAAAATGACAAAAAACCCGTAGAAAAATCCCGTAATTGTTAACCAAACTATTTTTAGATAAAAGTCTGAATCTAATAGTAAACTTTACTCACCATTTCATATTGTTTTAGGACCTCAGCCCGGACTTGTTCAGCGTCGAAAATCTGACTTGTCCTCTGGTTAACGAATCCTTCGATCATCGTTTTGATGCCTTCAAACATGAATGGAAGTGCTGGGTTGCTTTTAAAACGTAATGCGTCATCGTTCAGAGTCTTCATCTAAAAAAATTGTCAAAAATTTATGCTTCCAATTTATATTATCCATGATGGCCGAAAATTTTTTGTTGAAAAAATATGATTTCTCACCATTTTCTGGATCGATTGGACTTCAAACCTGAGCTCGCGAAGTTTCAAATTCCATGCTTGAAGCTGCACTTGATTTTCCTGCAAAAATTATATTGCAGTAGGCATAAACGTTCAAAAAGTAATACTTTTCATCCCAAATATTCTTCGAAGTACTATAAAAACTATATAAACCTACATTCCAAACATTGCGATTCAAAAAGAAATCAAATTCAAAACCACTTACATGTTCAAGATGCCGCTTTTTATCTTCGAGACCAATCTTTTCGGCTTGAAGGCGTGAACAATTATTTTGAACTTCTTTTAACTGCTGCTGTAGGTTCGTATTTGCATTCAGCACACTCCATAGCTGCTGGCTCATCATCGACGACATACTTTCAACCAATTTCTCGCTAAACACAAAACAGTTTTTTTTAATGCTACATGAAGGTTAAAATAACATTTTTTCACCCCGAACTCGGCATAAAACGCCGTAAAAACTTCTCGGATCAGAGACAAAAGGCTCAGCCCTTTTCTAAAAACAAATGCGCAAAAAATGCGGGAGAACTTACCGCGCGGCGTCGTCCTTTTCGAATTGTCTCCTCAGATCTTCGTTTATTCCTCGATAGGTTCGTCCGTAATAGATGGGCAATCGTCCGTGCGGGTCCAGCTCTTCCAAATCTTCTTCCATTCTGAAATTAAAATAGTTTATAATCGAATTTACTAAAAATAAAGGGCCTTTTTAGCAAGAATTATATTATACAAAGTGGAGCTGAAAAAATGGTGATAAAAAGAGAATGCCAAAGGTTTTACTAGGTAAAATACGGGAAATATAGCTCTATGAGACCTATATAGTTTACCTGAAAATAAAAAAACGCATATTTTCGAAAGATTTTTATATTGCACTGGGCCCAATACAAAAACTCATTTTCCATGCCTTGCAGAACATGGAAAACCTGTTGGGTTGGAGGGCTCACTAATACAATAATCTTTATCATAAATGCAACGTCTTTTAGAAACAAAATTCATCTAAAAAACCAAATCCTTATCAATAAATCAACAACTTACTCCACCCGTCGATGACCCGCTGTTGCCGGGCGTTGAACGCCACTGGTGGACGGTCGACTAAAACTAATCTCCTCTATTCGGTCCAATGCCTCTAATGAACGATGCCTCCGACCGGTACCCGACTTCGGACTGGTTAATTCGGACAGACTTTCGGCTTCGTGTTGTCTGAGATTCCGCAATTTATCCTGAACCCATTCGATCATTTCCCGGTACCGACGCTGTTCTTCAACACCCGCTTCGATGCGGCGTCGATAATAGTGGAGGTCCGACCCGAATCGGTGGAGATCTGAAAGTCAAAATTAGATTTTTATGTTGTACATGGTGTAAAAAGCAAAAATCGGGAAATTTGTAGAATTTTGGACATCATAAGGACTGAAATGGCAAAATACGTTACGGCAGACGTGCCATAGTATTATTTACAACAAAGAATCCAAGAAAAAATGTTTCACCATCTTGTAATAAAAAAAATTTTAAAATTCTCTAGGTCTTGATGGATAAATTGGCAAAAAATTGCTCTACAGAGTAAGATACAGCTATAACTACAGAAACAATTACTCCCATCACCTTTCTCCTCGAAGCTCGCAAACAAAAATTTCTTTATCTCTCCCAATAAATCCGTCGTGACTGACTTTTTAGTGGATTTTCCAAAAAATCCGTCATTTCCCCCAAAATTTTAAAGTACGTGTCTCACCAAGCCAGAGAATGTTTTTTCCTCCAACAGCTAAGTTTTTCGCGGCGGGACGCGCGCCCAATGGGCGTGCCACTAAAAATAAAAATATTTTTCCAAATAAAATTGATGTTGAACTGTAAAACTGATGTTTGAATGGAGTTTCCACCAGGTAAGTAAGATTTTATACCTATTTGAGCTTGAAAATACTATAATTGTTCTTAGTTGTCCAATTTTTTCTTAGTTTTCGCAATATTACGTTATTTTGCGGACAGATCAAGATTGCCAACGGAGAATTTCAGTTTTTTTGGATATAATTTCAGGAATACACGCAAAATGGGCCATCCCAACACCGGAATCTCCTCCAATGCCATGAACATCACGAACTCCTTCTCCAAAGGTGATTTTTTGGTATGTTGTTTTAGTTTATTATTCCATTATTTATTTAGATTTTAGGTAAATCTCTTCGTATTTATCGATGCTGAAGCCTCACGCCTCGTCCGGTACAACAATCGCCCTACCTTCTCTTCGGGCGAAATCCGGATTTCGTTCCGTGATTCTACCCGGAGAATTGATCATGAACGATGGTTCAACGCTCCCACTTCACCCATTACTGATCCCATACGGCCCTCTTTAGGGCCACATTTCTCTGATATTGAACCTTTGGATGTAAATAAAGATTTTTTTGTAGATTGCAATACAAGATTTTCAGAGCATGTAAATCCTTTCTGAAGGAAGGGTTTTTATGAAGGTTTAGACCTGAAACTGTCTATAAAACAAAATGTAAACCACCATAAATACGATAAAGTCGAACAAAAATAGTTATTTATAAAAGTAAAATAATATAAGCGTAATATGTGGCCCTAAAGAGGGCCGTATGGGATCAGTAATGGCTGAAGTGGGAGCGTTGAACCATCGTTCATGATCAATTCTCCGGGTAGAATCACACGGAACGAAATCCGAATCTCGCCAGAAGAGAAGGTGGGGCGATTGTTGTACCGGACGAGGCGTGAGGCTTCAGCATCGATAAATACGAAGAGATTTACCTAAAATCTAAATAAAAATGGAATAATAAACTAAAACAACATACCAATGCGTTCAAAAATCACCTTTGGAGAAGGAGTTCGTGATATTCATGGCATTGGAGGAGATTCCGGTGTTGGGATGGCCCATTTTGCGTGTATTCCTGAAATTATATCCAAGAAAAACTGAAATTCTCCGTTGCCAATCTTGATCTGTCCGCAAAATAACGTAATATTGCGAAAACTAAGAAAAAATTGGACAACTAAGAACAATTATAGTATTTTCAAGCTCAAATAGGTATAAAATCTTGCTTACCTGGTGGAAACTCCATTCAAACATCAGTTTTACAGTTCAACATCAATTTTATTTGGAAAAATATTTTTATTTTCAGTGGCACGCCCATTGGGCGCGCGTCCCGCCGCGAAAAACTTAGCTGTTGGAGGAAAAAACATTCTCTGGCTTGGTGAGACACGTACTTTAAAACACGATTTCTGAGTCACTGAATCAGCCGCCAATTGGGCCTGGACATAGAAAAAAATCGATTTTGAGTTTTTTGTTTTAAAATGACCGTAGACATCCAGTAAACATATGGCTGAAATATTTTTGTCTAATTCTCCCATTAACCTACTGTAATTTACAATTTAATGTTTTTACAGTAATCGACTATTACTCCAAAACTACGCATCGGAAATAGCTGAAATTGAGAATACTTATGTTTTAGCACATGCTCGTCAAAGTGAATACAAAATTTTGGCACTCAGGTTACTGTAACATACCGCAATGTTGGTTCGGCCGCACAAAATCGGCCATAAAAAAGTTGTTTCTGAAAACCCGCAGCTGATTTTTACATATGTTAATCAGCGTAAAATTCTGCCCTATACACATTAAAAAAAAGTTTAAAAAGTGGTGCCCCGATTTTCGTGGTGTAGTGGATTTTGGTCAAGTTTAGTATTCCGAAGGTCGCGGGTTCGAGTCCCACTGGGCGCAAATATCAAAAAGCTTTCCAAAAATGTATTCAAACTACTCAGGGAGGATTTTTAATTTGTGATAAAAGTATTTAAAGTTTTCTTAACCAGTTAGTAAAGCTTGAAGATGATTGTAAACTTTTTAACTCTGTTTCACATATGAAAATCTTTAGATCGGCAACTACATGAACTCGTTAAATGAAAAGTAAGGTCTTTATGCTATTATACCACCAATCCATCAAGATATCCATAGCTGGAAGGACGTAACAAACTAGTTGCGCGATATCAAGACGCCAAGGACAGCGTCAAAAATAATGATAAGACAGACGCGTCGCGCGTCCAATTTTGTCGGCGTTTAAAGTCAGACCTTTTTTTTTGCTGCGCCGGTTCAGTGCCTGTTTTTTGCATCTGTTGTGTATTTTATTAATAAATTTAATTTTCAGATACTTTCTAATGAACTTTGCAAAAATATGCTTTCTACTGATTTTCTTTACAAATGTTGTGTTATGTCGACCGCACTTGCGAGCAAAAAGGTCTCTGGCTGATTGGATAAGATGGCGGACAGCGGTTCTCGAAAATTTTCAGACTTGTCCGGATCTTCTTGCAAATAGCTCTTCTCTTCTCACGGGATATGAATGCAGTCAAAACTGCTTGAACATAACATTAGCTTCTAATAACGTCATAATAAATGTAAAAACAGAGCTGGTAAGACGATAATTCTTAAAATATGTTTTATGAATCAGAATGTGAAAAAATGCGGCTGCTCAATTGCTCAGTGGATGGATAGAGTGCAAGAAGCGATAATTCATCTTCCAGGCAGCGACAACCCCCATGTTTCAGCAGAATCGTCAAAAACATCAGCATGTGTCAAAGAATGTGCACGGTCAATGATTTCAGACGACGGTAACTCAGCTGGCACAAGCACCGGGTCAAGAACAAAAGTAAGTTTTTTTTATCACAAACGGAAAACCTACTTAGGTTATCAAAGAAAAAGAAGAGTGCTATTTTTCGACAATTCGGTATGCAGAAGAAGAAACTGAACGCCCGAGGGTGCCAACTTCGGTAGTGTCTACTGACTGTGGTGGTCGTCTAAACCCGTAAGTTTCCAAATATTTTTGAGTGTGAAACGCTGTCTTATATAAGCCGCAATTGTTTGGACTTTTCAGATTAAAAAAATTCTATGCAAATACCGAATTTCCATACAATCATGATGTCGAAAACGAAGCCGACATCATAATGGCGCGCGGTGCGGGTATTTTTTTAGACTGGAGTGACGAAAATGTTCAAAATACATATGCTAATGTAAAGATATGTTCGAATCATGTACAGGAATTGAGGTCAAGATGGGAGAAAATTCGTAGTCATTATCGGAAGAAGGACGGTAAAAAAGCGTGCTCCGTTCCGAAGGCTTTAATGGATGGATACGATGAACATTTGGCTAAAGATCGGAGTTATGTTACCAAATCTCGAGCTCAAGCGGCTCTGCAAAAGCTTGGTATTCTCCTGCATATCGGCCTGCGTAAGTTAACAATTCAGGATAAAACCTATGCCCTCTATAGCGATATGCCGAGATCACCAAACAATGTTGGACAAATTGTTCTCTGAAGTAACTGTAATCAATGCCGGGCGAAATATTTTTCCATCGCCAGAAACAGGCAATTTCGGTACTGCCAAAGTAATCGAAAATGATGAGGAAGTGTATTGCTTTCCTGAACAACAGACTTCTCAATCGTCACATGCGTTTTCACAGGGATCGTCGTATATTCCACCATCAGACGGCACACAAGAATCGCGCAGTTCTCAATGCTTAGTGTCAAATGTTATACCACCGGTAGGGCTTTTGTAGGTTGTATTAATTTGCTTGTATTTAGTTGCATTGCGCAAGGAGGACAGCGCCCAAAACTTGCGAAAAATTTTACGAATTCGGTCAAGCCGCAGAGGTTTCAAATTTGCAGCCAAGGAAACGGTTTCGCGATCTGACTAAGAGGCAGAGAAACAGACGATCTCAAAGCCTCTTTGAGATTTTAAAAGTATCTGCTGATTGTATGGCCGGCAAAGATGACAGTGAACAGTTAATACAAACTGTCATCGCAAACAACGGAAACAGCCAGCCTTCAGGTAGTGCCGATATGGATGAGTTACTGTCATACTCGGCTAGACTCTTTTATCAACTTGAGACACGTCAAGAAAGAATAGCACTTCTGAGTATATTAACCAGAAATCTGCCGTACTCTTACATAGAAAAATATATTCCATCGTTATCAAGAAGATATTACACAGAATCAAGACGTTATGCATTGGATTCCAGCTCTTTATCGGCTCCAGCAAAGAGGACAGTTACAAGAGTGAATAAACTACAACTAAATCAATTTATTGACTATATTACAGGGTAGGGAAATCCATTACTACATTTGATTTATTTTTTAGCCCGTCGGTGATGATCGGTCTCCCCTTTGGGGAAAGAAAAGGGAAAACATCGACTGGAGCCGAAATTTTAATTCCAAACACAATTCGGCTTTTCCGACATGAACAGATTTACCGAAATTACATCGACTATTTGAGCGAACTTGGAATTTGTAGTGGTGCAATATCCAGATCAACTGCACTGAAAATCTTGAATGTTTGTTCTGCAAATAGGCGAAAATCGCTAACATGTATAGACGAATTTATTGCGGACGCCGACGACGTAAGACTGTAATCATAATTTCGTAAAGGAAAATTTTTATTTAGGGATTTGACACAATTAAGCAGAATTTGGAGGAAGTCGGCGACCTCTTTGAACCCAACAGACTCAAGTCGCTTGATAAGAAATTAATGGAAATTAAACAGTATCTTCGTGGGGACTTCCGCCTGCATGTCAAGAATTACTCTCGAGTTCCAGACCATTGCATTTTACACTCTCTTAGCAATCATCAAGATAAACGGTTTAAAGAGAAGTGCGATGAGCAAGGTGAAAACTCGCATGAACATACAATCTTATGCCCAAGATGCGAAATGGAAAAGCAGACACTTGGAGAGGTCCAAAATACGTTCGAACAGCTCCTTACCGACGCCCGAAAGGCGCAAGACAAGCCTAAAATTACTTATTATGAAGACATGACAACTGATTTTCTCGAGGCAATTGAGAAAATTAAAAATCTCAAGCGTCATCAAGTTCGAGCCGCGCACAGTAATAAAGTAAGAGAAGAGCTCATCGGAAGACTGAAACCTGGTGAAGCACTGATCGTCTTAGACTTTGCGCAGAAGGTCCTGCAGATGCGCTTCCGTGAAACGCAACAACAATATTTTGGTAAACGAGGAATGTCTTTGCATGTTGCACATGTGACTGCAATAAGTCCTAATGGAAAACTAATTCAGCATTCATTTCTACATGTGCTGGGAGTTGAAGTTCAGGTAAAATTGAAATTAGCAAACTTGTTACTTTATTTTTAGGATGGTGAGGCCGTAGTGGCAATCATTAGACATTGTCTGGAAAATTTAAAGCAAAATGGAATCGAGAAAGTAACTTTGAGAAGTGATAACGCAGGTAAGAGAAAAATAATGATATAATATTGAACACACAAATTATAGATCGAAAAAATTACAGTTAATTCCTAGATTCTCAAGCACTTATTTCTGCTGTCCAATGCTGACACATTGTAAAATCGTATTCCATTTCAGGGTGTTATCATTCTCAGGGAACAATTCTTTCCTTGCCCGCCATTTCAAAGCAAACATCGGTCCACATAGAAGCCTATGAATTTTCGGAAGCACAAGCCGGGAAATCAACTGCAGACCGTGTTATATCTACAATGAAGAGGCGGATTCGTGATTTCGTTGACTCAGGCAAAAATGTGTTGGATGCAGGCGACTTGTACTCAGCTCTACACTACCCGAAAGCGCTTCATGGGGTGTCAGTGCACGCTGGATTTATCAAAGACAGAGAAACCCCACAAAAAAGGAAGGAAATGGAACGTTATCGAAATGCAATTGGAAGTGTGACCAATCAGTATTCTTTTACGTTCTCAACAAATGGACTTGTAACCTATCGAAATTTCTACAAGATTGGAGAGGGAGTAACCGTCATGCCCGAAGATTATAAGAACGCTGAATATTCGGCGTTTTTCAAGTCTGAGCAGAGCACTGATTTTTCAGTAGTCAAATTTTGGACCGGGGACCCCGATTTCGAAATTCCTTTCGGTGACTTCCCCGAATATGAGGCAACAACGACAACCCCGCTCCCACCATTAAATTTGGCCGGTAATGTTGAGCCGTTGATTGAAGATTCAGAAGGGCATGAGGAAGTCCAACCCCCATCAGCTTATGAAACACGAATTAACGATGTGGAGGAGGAAAGCGCGATTCCAAATACAGCACATGGCACACTATTTGAATGTCCGGAACAGGGCTGCGGTAAAAAATTTATACGACTGTCAAATCTGGCACGCCACATACAGATTGGTAAACACGAAAAAAACCCTGATGTTGTAAGAATGGAAGACTACGTGCTTCAGGCGTATGCCGACAAGCTGGAAACACTTGATCCAAGGAATACATTTTCTTCAATAACAGGCAACCAGAACTTTCTAACAGTCGAAGAGGTAGATGCAGAAGACAAATCCAATATGGTTAAAATGGGATGGGCAAGAAAACCAAAGCGGACACGGCATGTTGCCAGCGATGCCGCCCGAGCATTTGTTGTAAAGTTTTTTGAAGAAGGAAAGCGATCAAAAAGAAAGTACGATCCAAAATATGTGGCTCGGGAAATGAAAATTGCCAAATCGCCAACAGGAGAACGACTATTTACTGCAAACGAACGGTTGAACTACAAACAAATAGCATCCATGTTTTCCCGCTTAGGGCGTGAAGACGCATCTGCGAAATCGTCGACTACTACTTCTACCGAGATTGAATTTAATGATGAATTAGATTATAGAACAGATCCTAATTTCGAAAATCCGTTTGATGAGCTGCTTGAGCGAGTGGAAAATGCTAAAGAAACAGATGAAGCGGGAAAAGAGCATTTGAGCTTTGATATTTCCTATGATGAGCCTGAGTTTATAGCTTGCAACCGGCCCAATAGGCCAACTCAATCGTCGGCCGAAGATTGCCCCAATTCCGGAGATGATCCGGAACCTCCAGTAAAAAGGAAGAAAGAATTTTAAATTTTACTTTGTCTATTTTTCCACGTAAAAGTTATCTGTAATCCCAGTACTCCTCTTTGCAACTGATTCCCAAACATCTTTGACATCCTATTATCTCATAACACCTTCCTTATTTACATATACGATAGTAGCCGAATAAAGTAGCGAAAAAATCGAATAAAAATTAACGAAATAAGTTTATTTCTATGTACAATTAACCATAATATTAAAAACCGGTTACAAAATATAACAGAAAACTAATTATTCATCATGTACTCTGAGCAGCTGGTTATAATGGACAATTTCCTCGACTTCCTCCTCTTTCTTCTTACGCGACCAACATATGGCGATGACAGCGACAATAAATAGAGCGAGGATTAGGCTTATCAGAATGTAGAACCAACATGGCTTGGATAAAAACGGGTTCTCCTCGATATGACCCATCCATCCGTCCATTGTAGCCATCGACTCCGTAGCGCAGGTAAAAGGATAGTCTTTTTGCCTGAACACACTCATGTCAGAAATAAGTCACGAATAAAACCACAGTAAAATAATAAAAAAAGTTAAATTCAACATACATGTAGCTCCCATAGCATTCTGTGCCTGGAGGGCAACCATTTTTGAAGACCCCGCAGGGAATAAATTCCCGATCAAGTTTGAACAAAATCCGTGGTGGTGCCATCGCCTCCAAACAAAGTAATAAACAGAAAAATGAGCTCGTTTGCTTTCTGATCAACATTATTGCGCAAAGCTCCGCAAAAGTTTATATTTTTCTGTTGTTTTATTTCTGTTATAATTACGTCACTTGGAAAATCTAATAACTACCTTAAAAAAAACTTTAAATACTTTTATCACAAATTAAAAATCCTCCCTGAGTAGTTTGAATACATTTTTGGAAAGCTTTTTGATATTTGCGCCCAGTGGGACTCGAACCCGGGATGTTTTGATTACTAAACTTGACCAAAATCCACTACACCACGAAAATCGGGGCACCACTTTTTAAACTTTTTTTTAATGTGTATAGGGCAGAATTTTACGCTGATTAACATATGTAAAAATCAGCTGCGGGTTTTCAGAAACAACTTTTTTATGGCCGATTTTGTGCGGCCGAACCAACATTGCGGTATGTTACAGTAACCTGAGTGCCAAAATTTTGTATTCACTTTGACGAGCATGTGCTAAAACATAAGTATTCTCAATTTCAGCTATTTCCGATGCGTAGTTTTGGAGTAATAGTCGATTACTGTAAAAACATTAAATTGTAAATTACAGTAGGTTAATGGGAGAATTAGACAAAAATATTTCAGTCATATGTTTATTAGATGCCTACGGTCATTTTAAAACAAAAAACTCAAAATCGATTTTTTTCTATGTCCACGGCTAATTCAGTGACTCAGAAATCGTGTTTTAAAGCAATTCAATTTGAAGTTGATCCGAGGCTACCCATAAAAAAGGTCTCCCAGCTGGAAGTGGAGCTTTGATAAGGGAAAAGGCGGGAACTCCGTTCATTTCGACCTCCAAAAATAAGGTCGAAAGATGTTTTGATCTGATACGTAAGGTAAACAAGCGGAAGATGAGGCGTAAACGGAGCGATAATTAGGAAAAGTGGATTGATTTAGGGATTATGGGATGTAAAATACGATGAAGTGAAAGGGGTCTCTATTAAGTCGCTGAATTTGTCGCGACACCCTCGCGATACTAAAAATAGCAAAAAGGAATTCTCTCAATAGGCCGATTGGATGATTAATTTGGGCCGAGAAGATTCTTGATTGCCATAACATTCATTTCCCCTGCCTCTTAATCACCGCTTTCCGTGCAAACGCCTGAGTAAGCACGGATCATTCACTCCGTATCTCCTGCTTTATGATTCCACTTATGAGGTGTCCTAGGGCCGGACCCAACCCCCTTGGCCCAGCCCTAGGACACTCCAGCTAATCCCGCCCTTTTGATGATAATATATAAGCCTGAAAATTCCCACAATAAATATATCGCAAAATCAACTGTTGTTGTTGTCAGTCAGCGTCGCCATCCCCAGCACCCCCGCGAAAAGGTAGGAGAATTGTAAGATTCTCAAAAGGAGTCGGCAAACCCAGCCGGCCGACTCCCAAATTGTCACCGAGCCTATTCCCGGCCTTGACAATTTTTGGTGACCCCGACGTGATCTAGGTCCGCCAAAGGTAGACCTAGATCGCGCCTCTGAAACCAACGGCAGCTCCCAAAAAGGGTAGCTAAGAAGTCAGCTCCCTAAAGGGAAGCTCAACTACCGCGGAGACCACGCGCAAGTCCCCAACGCAGGATCCCTGCTTCGAAGATTGATCCCAACCTCTACCTGTATCCTTTTACTTGCTGAATCTTCTACCTGTGCTTATCTGATTTGTGCTAAAAGGCGATATCAACCCAACAAAGTCCCCCCGAACTATGGACTCCCCTTCCGGCAAAATCCGCCAAGCAATCGGCTTGGCAAAACGCCGCCTACAAGATGCCCTCCGATCCTACCTACAAATCCAAAAGGAAATAGACCTAAATCCCGCTGAAATCAATGACGAGCAACTCTATAACACCTTCGAAACTGCCCATGATGTTTTCCGAAGACTATCCCGAAATGTTCAACGATTAGACGAGCTCCATAACCAATGGCAACGCATCATTGAAACCAACCCATCCGAACAGACCACCTTCGACAACTACATTACCGCTCATGGAGACTTCCGCTCCCTCGTCGAGGAAGGTCGCGCCGCCGTCGACCACCTCCGACTCCGCATCGGACTTCTGCGCGAAGCCACATCAAACCGACTCGAACTGACCGACCCTAATGACCTGTACGACAATGGCGAGGGAACACTGGACATCGTCCCCTCTAATGATGCCGTGTTCTCCACCCCAACCACGCCGACCCGTCCCAGCACGCCGGCTACCCCTGCGACTCAGGTAAACCCTCCCGCCGAACTAAGTCAGCCCTCTCCCGGCTGGATGGACCTCCTGTTCCTTCCAAACGTCTCAATCCCCCAATTCAACGGCAATCCCAGCCGATGGAATGAATTCTGGGATTTGTTCAACGCCATGGTAAACAACCGAAAGTTGGAGCCGTGCCTGAAGCTCTTCCAACTCCGATCATGCCTCGAAGGTGAGGCAAAAGCAGCACTTTCCCACCTTGGAAATTCTAACGCCGACTACAACATTGCCGTCCAAACCCTCAAGGACCTCTACGGTGACCCCCTCAGAGTCACCCACAGACTCCGCGCAGAAATCCTTCAATTCCGTATCCTTGACAAGGGATCCATCAACCTCTACCGAGGATGGTCCCGTCTACACCAATTGTACTCCCAACTCCTGTCCATGGGTGACCCAGCCGACACCACCCTTCTAGCCCAAGTCATCGAAAGCAAGTTCCCGCGCTACGTACTCCAAAAAGTATACAAGGATGCCACCATCATCCCTAAAGGAAAACAAATGTTAGATGCCGTAGGAGATGTCCTCCGCAAAGAGGCAAATATCGATCGAATGATTTCCGACAACCATGGAGACCAGAAACGCCTCCCAAATCGGCCAAATACACCCCGACGGCCCGATCAAGTGCTCTCTCATTATAACGCCGACCAAGACGAGAAAAATCCCAATGGGCCCTCCTGCCACCTGTGCGAAGGCCGACATCTCACCTACAAGTGTTCCAAATATGGCGAACCCCAAGAACGACAACGACAAGCAAGTTTGAAGAAATTGTGCCGCAATTGTCTTCTACCTGGACATTTCGTCCCCGAATGCCCCTCCAAACATTCCTGTCGCCATTGCAACCAACGGCACCACTCCTCAATGTGCTTCCGTAACAACCCGGCCGGGCCAAGCAGACCAGCTCAAAAAAGCAAACCAGCGCAGAAAGTAACCTTTGCTCCGAAACCCGCCAAAACCACCCCTTCGGCTAAAACTAGGCCGCCTTCCAATCCACGAAAGGAAAAGACTCATGTCGTTATTAACGAAGATGAATTGGACGACAATGAACAGTCAGAACAAGCCTTCCTGACAAATACCAAGCCAAAGCCCAAACTATCAACAACTCTACTCATGACCACCGAAGTGGAAGCAATCAACCCCGACGTCTCGAAGGTAAGCAGACCTGCTGTTCTTTTCAGTGACTCCGGAAGCACTCGCAGCTTCATCACCGAAGAACTCGCGTCCAACTTAAAACTGAGACCCCTCTCCGACGAGATAACCACAGTCAACGTCAACACATTTGGAGATCACAGCGAGACCTTCAACACCAAAACGTACAACTTAGTCATCCGCGATCCAGCGCACCCAAAGAAGACAACCAAAATCTCCGTCCTCTCCATTCCCAATATGACCAGTTCGATGCTGGCTGCCCTCCCTACCGATTTCCATGAAACGCCACTGACCGTGAAGAAAGTCCGGCCCTCCATCCTTCTCGGAATGGACAATCTCGACATCTGTCGGAGCACCGGAGAGCCAGTCGACCTCCCCTCGGGCTTCAAGCTCTCACACTCCAAGATAGGGCGATTCATCTATGGAGAAGGAAAGGCAAGTCCAGTGCCTCAAACCAATGCCCATACCCACCATTCTTACATGATGGAAATGGCGATCCCTCTGCCTACAACAGAAGGATCTATCACCGCCATTGCTGGACCTATGTGGTCAGGAAAAACAACTCTCCTCTTGGAAAAATTGAATGAGTTTCCCGAGCAATCCCGCATCCTGAGAATACGGCACGTGGCGGACATCAGATACACTGAAGGTAACCAAATTGTGACTCATGACGGCCAGACCCACGCCTGCATGAGAATCGCCGACCTCAACAGTACGATTGCCTTACTGAATGTCTACGACGTGTTGGCCATCGACGATGCCCATTTTTTCCCCGAATTGGCTGTAGTCTGCCAGAAGATTCGCGACCTCGGTAAGACTATCATCGTCACCGGACTCCTAAACGGGACTTATCTCGACAATCCTACGCCGAAGACAAACTACAACTTCGCTCCATTATGGGCCATTGCAGACCTCCGCCATACTCTGCTCGGAAATTGTGATATCTGTGGTGAACCGGCCTCTTACAGTAAAAGGATTGTCCCGAATCCCACCGATCCCACCGATATTTCTCAGTGGGTCGGCGGTAAGGACAAGTATGCTACTCTTTGCCCAACTTGTGATACAGCATACACCACCAAGCATTCCCCACAAGTATTCCACATATCCATTCCTACAGAGGAGACCCCCAACGATTCTTCAACCGAGCCCGTGTCGATTTGCGTGAAACATACGGAACAAAAGCAGCTCAGTTCCTTACTCACAAAATTCTGGACCCTCGAACACTTGGGAATCCACGACGACCCCAGTCGTAACGACGACGACCTCGCAATGGAAGCCTTCCTTAAAACCGTCACTCGTGATGAAGAAGGTCGATACGTTTGTCGATGGCCGTGGAAAGGCACTCCTACCACTCTTCAAAGTAATTTCGGCCGTTGCCTCGGGCGACTTCGTTCTACTCTCCGCCGCCTCAGCGCTAATCCAACCCTCCTCCAACAATATAGTGAGATCTTTTCCGATCAACTCACCAAGGGCATTATCGAGGAAGTCCCTCTCAATCAACCGAGTCAGGGACCTCTCCATTACATCCCCCACCAACCTGTCATCACCCCCGACAAAACCACGACCAAATTACGCGTGGTTTATGACGCTAGCTGTAAAACTCCCAACGGGAAGAGCCTGAATGACCACATGTTCCGCGGACCAGTGCTCCTCCCCGAACTGGTTGGCATGCTTCTTCGATTTCGTGTTACCAAGATCCCATTGCTTTCCGATGTTGAGAAAGCTTTCCTCCAATTATCACTGGACGAACGTGACCGCGACTGTACCCGCTTCCTCTGGGTCCGTGACGTCACCCAACCCGCGGAAGGTGCCAACCTGATGGTCTTCCGCTTCAATCGGGTTTGTTTTGGAGTAGTTTCATCACCCTTCCTCCTCGCCGCCTGCGTGGATTACCACCTCCAACACTACCCACATCCCTTGGCCAAAGCAATGCGAAAAAATTCGTACGTCGATAACGTACTTATCGAATGTTCCGACGTCCAAGAGGCTACCGACGCTTATCACCTCTCACGACAAATCTTCAGCGAAGCAAAAATGAACCTCCGAGAGTTTCAATCCAGCCATCCAACAGTCAAGGCCTTTTTGGAACAACAAGGAGAAAAGATCCCGGAAATTGTCAAATTTCTTGGCCTACAGTGGAATACAAACACCGATATTCTCACTCTCGTGCCCTGGAAAACCCCAAACTCCGAACAGCTTGCCACAAAGAGAACCATCCTCAAAAGGATCGCTAGCCTGTTCGACCCCCTAGGTTTTCATGCACCTTTGATCCTCCAAGCTAAACTCCTCCTCCAAAAGTTGTGGCAACAAGGTAAAGACTGGGACATCCCACTACAGGAAGATCTTCTTTTTGAATGGAATCAAATTCAATCATTACTCGAGACATCCACAATGCCCACACTACAACGCCACGTATGCCCATTTTCTTCTGACTCTGCTGAACTTCACGTGTTCTGTGACGCTTCTGACCGAGCTTATGCAGCAGTCGCTTATCTTCGCACTCAGTCAGGCGACCTCATCGATGTGTCATTCCTAATCGGTAAAAGCCGTCTGGGACCCATAAAAGGCATGACCGTGCCCCGCCTGGAACTCCTCGGACTTCTCATTGGATCTAACCTTGCTCGCACAATTGCCACTGAGCTACCGTCAATTCGGCTCACCAACATCTTCCTCTGGACAGACTCACGGATCGTCCACACATGGCTTCTTTCTCGTCGAACACTTCCAATCTTCGTCAAGAATCGAGTCAACTCCATCTGGCAAAATGTCCCCAACGCCTCGATCCGATACGTTCCCACGGCAGAAAACCCAGCTGACTCGGCTACCAAACGTTGTCCACCATCACAACTTTGGCTCGAAGGTCCCGCTTGGCTCCGGCAGTCACCAAGCCAATGGCCAAATCAACCGGAACTCTACGAAGCTCCGGAGGATATCACTGCTGTCGCCGAAGTAACAACGGCACCCATACCCCTCATCGATGCTACTCGGTTCAGCCGCTGGACCATCCTCATCCACACCCTTGTGTGTGTACTGCAGTACCTGGCGACCGTACTCTCGACCAGTAATACCGCTCAACGGAAATATCCCTGGCTTTCCGTGTACACCACGCCGTCCACCCCACACACAACCCAATTTCATACTGCAGAGAAATTGTTCTTTCGGTTAATGCAACAAGAACGACCCCCAACAAAAGCTCAACAGCACGAGCTCAACCTGTATCAAGATTCTGAACAAGTTTTTCGCTGTCGTACTCGGCTCGCCCATGCTTCTCTCCCTACGACAGCACAAAACCCCATCTTCCTACCATCTCCCCATTACGGGACCGCACTCTACATCCATCATATCCACCAACTATTGGGACATGCGTCCACTTCAACTACGCTATGTCACCTTCGTTACCGCGTATGGATTCCAAAAGCCAGACGCCTTGTCCAATCCAGCATTCGCCAATGTTCTTGCCGAACGTTGAAGCCGTTCGCGCTTCCACCCTTTCCCAATTACCCACACATGCGTGTACAACCAAACCCTCCATTCCACTACACAGGCCTGGATTACGGTGGTCCCATCTCCGTCAGCATCACCACTACCGACACCATAAAAACATACATCTGTTTGTTCACTTGTCTCACCTCACGGGCCGTACACCTCGAGCTCGTATTGGACCTTTCCACCCTCGCCTTCCTCCAGGCCCTTCGAAAATTCATCTCTCGACGGGGCACCCCAGCCGAAGTCTGGAGCGACAATGCCCCTCAATTCCGCCTCGCAACTCAAGCAATCACCCTTGCATGGGCTGAATCCGAAGACGTACAATCGTATTTGGCAACGCGCGGAATTAAATGGAGCTTCATCACCGAATCTGCCCCTTGGCAGGGCGGATCGTGGGAAAGATTGATGGGAGTAACGAAGACGGCACTCAAGAGAGCCATCGGCAAGAAAAAGATCTCGCTGCCTGAAATGATGACGGTATTAACCGAGGTAGAAGCTATCGTCAATTCCCGTCCACTGACATTTGTACCCTCAAAAATCGATGATCAATCATTTCACCCGATCCGACCCATCGATTGCATCCAACCAGGAGCCTTCATCGGAGTCCCTCTCCTCGACCCTTGGGATCCCGAGGATGGCACCTTCGAGCCTAAGCCGTCATCGGTCACTAAGTTAATGGATCTTTGGAGAAAGCAACAAAGAATCATTAACCAATTCTGGAAAATTTGGAGCTCGGAATACCTCCTCACTCTGGCCGAGCGACATCAAACAACCCACAAACAGGACAGATCTGCGATCGATCGACTCCCAATGAAAGGAGAAGTCGTGCTTGTCCATGAGGAAGGACTCGGAAGAGGAAAGTGGCAAATGGCGAAGATCTTGGAGATCGTCACTCCAAACAAAATCCAAATTCAACTCGCTACACCGCCCCATTTGGTCCTCCACCGATCCCCGAAACACCTCTATCCACTCGAACTTCAACCCGAGATCCCAAACGCAACTGAAGGAATCCCAAGAACGTCCAACCAGCACGATAGCCCACCGCCACCCAGACGGAGTCCGAGAAAGAATTCTTCTTCCACCACACTAGTCGCCTATTTTCTGGGCATAGTTCTTATTAACACCGTTTCGGCTACGGAATCCCTACCCAACCCTTGTACAGCAGAGGACTGTGCCCCTTGGAGATGGGATTGCTGTACAGCTATCCAAAAAACAGGAATCTTCATCTGGATGGGAGTATTACTCGCTCTAATACCTTTCATTTGCATCCTACTAGCTATACACACTTGGATTTGGCGAACAGTCAGATGGATCTGGACTCGATGCCGTCCACAAAACCCTCGGCAACCACGATACCAGGCTCCACACCGAATTCGACGTCTTCTTCGGACGACAGGCACCATTTACCTCCTCTTCGGACTCTTTCCGTGGGTTAATGGTTGCTCAGAGGTAACCGCCTTAACCGCGAGCACTCACAACTGCCGTTTTGATGAAGATTCCAACGTCGAGACCTGTTCCCTCTCCCAATCCATCCAACTCAGTTTGCGGCCCATCAACGAGACAAGCTGTCTTCGAATCACCACCCCACTCAACGGATCATATATGCTCCGCTTGACTACCCTCCAGCTAAAGTTTAAATGTAACTTTAAATACGGCTACCATACACGAGACTTTGCCACCACAGTTGAATCCGTCCATCGATGTGACATGGCATCGAATTCGTACTGTCAAGGATATCAATGTGAAAAGGTCTCCACGTCCGACGACCTCCCCGAATTTTCACTCCTAGCTCGTCGGGCCCCCGGCTACTCCCACTGTACCCGGGCCTGTGGGTGCGCCACTTGTGGCTGCTTCCTCTGCAGTCCGGGATGTAACTTCTGGCGCCTCTATGCCTTACCAAAAACCAACAACATTTACCTAATAGGACGTTGCCCCACGTGGACTATAACCGCGTCAGTAATCCTAGAAGTGAGCGGCAAAACGTCCCTCATACAACTGGTGGCTGCCAAGCCCGTCCACGTCGGAAACGAGATCTTCACTCTACAGGCCATATCCACTCCGCAGGTACCGATTCTGTATCAACCTATGGTTATAAAAGTGGGAACCAACGAGGCCATCACCACCGCAGCCTCTGACCCCCAACAACCTGCTCCGGGCAGCCTAGGGGTCTTCCAATGCCGCTCAGAAGACGATGCCAGAAGATTCCAGTGTACATTCCCCCATGAAACTTGTTCATGCAGCCCCAGCGATTTCCACACCAAATGCACATGCAACTACCGCAACCCTATGGACCTATGGCACAGCCCGGAGGTAAAACTCCCGTTCACTTCTGGTCCAATAAAGATCGCCTACCAAAACCACACCATCACGGCAGAAATCGCTCAACAAACCGCCATTCTGGTTCACATCGCCTTCCAAAACGCAACGATATCTACGTTTCATTATCGTGCAAAGTGTGCACCTTCCGTGATACAACAATTGACCGGATGCAAGTCTTGTCATTCGGGCGCGCAAGCTATCATTTTCTGCCAATCCAAATTCCCAACGACTATCAATGTCGAGTGTGATGGAACAAATGTCCAATCATCTCCCTGCAACAACATTACGTTCCAACTCAACATCCACACCGATGAAGCTGAATTTAACAAAAACTGTTCCTACTCCTGCTCCGATAAATCTGACGGAACTCTACACCTTTTCGGAAAACTTCACACCATGACGATTCCTCCTCCCCCGTCCAAGGAACTTGGACAGTGGTGGGCAAGAGCCGCCGATGAAGTTCCGATCGGAAACATTCTACGCGATATTACACAATTTCTGGAAAAAGTCGCTTGGTTTTTCCCTTCTTTAATCTTCCAATATCCCCTCCTTATGTTAATTGTTATGGCAACTGTCGTTATCATGCTTTATTTTCTTTTCCGCTACAATTTCCCTTCCACCCCACCTGCGATCTTTCTCGGACCTCGCCCGCACCAACAACTCCCCGAAAGCCGTGGTCTCCTGCCCAAACGGGCTAAGCCCCACCACCATTAACCAACCACTGGTCCCTTACCCTTCTTCCGATCCCTTTCGTCCTTAGCAAAAACCACAACTCATATTTTTCGACACAAAAAAAAAAAAAAACATGGATCGGGAGAAGTTTTTTCCACGCAACCCACATCTTTTGCCAAAATTTTACCACTGCTTTATCCTAACCATTGTCGTCAAAATTCGTATCCTAAACCCCACATCCCCTCCGGTTCCTCAACACTTCCCTCCGCGGGAGCGTCACCACTAGCAGTTCAATTACAAATGAACTGTAATGCTGAAAAACAACACCCTCCCCCGAAAAAATCCGGAATCTCTGGCCGGTCGTCTCATACCAATCTTTCCAGACATGAGTGGAAAAAGAAACCAACAGAAGGAGCAAAACGACGAATGTCGCCATCTTTTCGACCCCTCCGAAGAAGACCTGCTTACCATATATTCAACCATCCTAGCACTAGGTCTGATAAATCTCCAAAGCCGCACACAGTCCCGATGGGCCAGCATCCGGAGGCGGGCCGCTTTCCGTCTACATCCGGATAAATCCAACAACCCAACCGTCGCGACCGAACTCTTCAAAGTCTTCCAGTACAGCTGCAGATACCTGGATGACCTCACCCAAGCTCAATACGAAGAATTTATCGAACGCCACCGCCACTGCCGCCCAATTCCGCTGCTAGACATAATCAACTTCGCCGACATCCCCGGCCCATCTACGTCCGCACCACAAGATCCTGCCATGTCGGACGCAATCCAGGAACTTCAACGCGAGGTAGAATCTCTCCGAGCGCAGAACGAAGCGCTCACCGCGGAGGCCTCCTCCTCCACCGCCGCCCGACACCAGGCGGAGGAGGAGGCCAAGCGCCTCCTGAGACAGAACGAACAACTCCGGAAACGCAACGAGGAATTGTCTGCCGAAGCCTCTTCCTCCGCCGCCGCCCGTAACCAGGCGGAGGAGGAGGCACAGGCCCTCACCGACACCCTGAACGAAGCTCGCCGAACCCGGCGCATCTTAGCAGAAGACAACGAGAGGCACTACCGGGCAATCCAAGCACTCCGGGAGGCCTCGCGAAACCAGCAGCTAGCCGCAGCGGAGGTGGGCGCTCAGCTCACCGAGGAGATCAATCAGCTCAGCGCCTTGCTACAAAACGAGGAAGAAAGGCATCGGCGAAGTTTGACCAGACTGGATGAAGCCGAAACCCTGGCCGCCTCCCTCCGCCACAATTTGGAGCAAGAAATGAGGAGGCCGCATAAAGCACGCCGTCAGCCGTGCCCCTACTGTAACTCGGCTGACCACAACCCTCTCGACTGCACGGTCGTTGTTGACCGCTCGGTCCGCCGAAGACTTATCGGCGACCGGTGCGTCAACTGTTTGGGAAGACACGATGTCATCAGATGCCCAAGCAGAAAAACGTGTCTACACTGCAAACAATGGCATCACACCTCGCTGTGCGCCCTGGGAACCCCCCACGACGTCCCTGGGCCCAGCACCTCCAGAGCACACGAGGACCAGTGCCCCATATGCCTCACCGGGGACGACCGACCAGTGACCCGCACATACTGCGGTCATCTCTTCCACCAGATCTGCCTAGACGAGTGGATCACCAGCCAGCTCAACCAACATCAGAACCCGACGTGCCCCAATTGCCGCGCCCCTCTACATATCGACTCCCGCCACCGCCAACCGGATACCAGCCCAGAGGAACCGGAGGAACCCACTTTCTAAAAAGATAAGATAACCTGTCTATAAAATTTATTGTAATTAGATAAGCTCACTATAAATTTATTGTAAAATTTTGTAATCTCTGTACTCTGTTCCAAACTTTTGTAACCCAAAAATTCCCTCCTCTTCTTCCTCCCTCTCCCTCCCCCGGAGTGTCGCGACACCCTCGCGATACTAAAAATAGCAAAAAGGAATTCTCTCAATAGGCCGATTGGATGATTAATTTGGGCCGAGAAGATTCTTGATTGCCATAACATTCATTTCCCCTGCCTCTTAATCACCGCTTTCCGTGCAAACGCCTGAGTAAGCACGGATCATTCACTCCGTATCTCCTGCTTTATGATTCCACTTATGAGGTGTCCTAGGGCCGGACCCAACCCCCTTGGCCCAGCCCTAGGACACTCCAGCTAATCCCGCCCTTTTGATGATAATATATAAGCCTGAAAATTCCCACAATAAATATATCGCAAAATCAACTGTTGTTGTTGTCAGTCAGCGTCGCCATCCCCAGCACCCCCGCGAAAAGGTAGGAGAATTGTAAGATTCTCAAAAGGAGTCGGCAAACCCAGCCGGCCGACTCCCAAATTGTCACCGAGCCTATTCCCGGCCGTGACAGAATTTTTGAGAAAAGGCCAATTTTAACCTTATTTTAGGCGATTAAAATTTTGAAACGTAAATTTTTTAATGTTTGATGTAAAAATAGTCATGAATTTAATCTAAATTAGATCCTAGCGCTTTGTTGAGACGATTTAAAGGTCAAAGCTCGAGATCCGACATTTAGCTCATGCTAAAAATTTTGAAGAGTACGGTACTAATTAACTGGAAAATGAAGGGCCAAGAATACAATCAAGTCACGTGATAATGTGACAAACTCACATCACATGCCTGGACTGTAATTAGGCGCTATTTACCAGATATTAGCATTAATTATCCTTGAATTTTTGTCTTATTTGTCTAGTGCAATATAAAATGATGTCAAAAATAAGGGAAAAAATGCCATGGATTGTTTTACAGAACGTATTTTACTCACCAACGGGGTCGAGACTCCCCACTGCTGGCAGCGATTCCATCGATGAATGGTCATAACTGTAAAACGAATCATTTTTTGTGGTGAGCAAGTTCTGGGCCGACATAATCCGTCGGTTTGAGGTTAAGGCACGGTTTGGTTGAGCAATTCGGACCCGTTCGGAGCGCTAAAAAGATTAGGGATTAGATGGGATAAATTATGTGAATTGAGAAGGTGAGAGGCTAGAGAATTTGAAGAGGGTCCACAGAAAGACCAGTATCAGCTAAACTCTTATTTTTTATGGTTTGTTGTTGACCTTTATAGCTAAAACGATTTGTTATTTGATATGGAAGGATAGGAACGGCTTATTTTATCGTATTTTAGCAATCTGGGTCAAATTTAGCCATTGCAACGGAATGCCAAAAATGTTTTATTTTGGCGGGAATTTAAAAATTTTTGGTTTGATACGGCCAAAAATAGTCTTAGATTGTCTCTAGCTACATAATATAACAAAAAATATATGTAAATTGTTCGTATGTTACCTCAAACTCCCTACTTTTACTGTTTTTCCACTATAAAGTAACCGCATAAACCAAAAAAAGCCGCAAAAGCAGATTCCCCAATTAAATTCCCCGTCAAAACAATTTTTTCGAACAAACCTCTTGCTTGGGAAGCGCGAGATTCAAGGGTTATTGTTATTTTTCCTCTTGCTCTATAAAAAATTTCCCACACAAAAAACTACGAACGTTTGTAAGCGAAAGGGACGGTGGAGAAAAACAACTTTGTACCTTTCACTGGTAAACAAACAAATAAAAATTGGATTCTGCAAAAGGATCAAGGAAAAATCGGAGAGGGAAGAGAGAAAAAGGGAAAGTAGACGGATGGGATTAAAAAAATGACCTTTGAAGGCTGGAAGAGGTATAAAGTTGGTTAATAATATAGATATTTAGACAAAACAGAGTCTGTTTCGTATTTTTAGTAAAGATATTTTGCGCAAAAATCTACTTTTTTGGGCTAGAAGCAGCAAAAACTTGAGTTTTTCCCAAAAAATTGAAAAGAAATTGTTCTAAAAAAGTAAAAATAAGAGTCCAGTAGTTGTATCTGTTTTTAAGAAAACGGTCGTTCTCGATTTTTCGATAAAGTTCCGATACGTACTTGGCCTAAAAACAAAGAAATTGATTCGTTTATCAAAGTCATCGAAAAAATGACTCTGGAAAAATGATTGCAAAAAGGGTAAAATGCGATTGCTGCCGTTGACCCTGTTTTCTAAAATGAGGTAACGGCCGTCTTCTCTAATTCTTTACAAATTTCAGTTGCATTAACGATCTAAAATACGAAAAAAAAATAATTTTTTTTTGTCGAAATCATCAAAAAGCTTGATTTTTTCGGAAACTTTTGGGAAAAAGTGGAAAGAATTTAAAATACGAGGCATTTTTCCTGTGTCCTTTAATTTTGGAGTCTAGCTATAGCGTTGTATTATAAAATACGACATATCGCGCCTTCGAAAAGTCTCAAGAAACAACGATATAAACCGCACAGAAAATTGTTAGATCAACTCAAATTCCAGGCCAAACCCGTCCGCTTCTTACAAGATCGAATAGTAATCCGACATTCGGTGTAAAAAGTAGCATAAGTAGTAATTCCACTTGGCTCCGCCCCTTTTCGACGTCTCGCCTACAATTTACAATTGTTTTCGGTTACAAGTGGAGAATGACGGAACATTCTCTAAATGATACACTCAATGCAATAGGACATTGGAGGCAATGAAGGGCTGAGGTAACTGAAATTGGTTGACAATCAGATCTGACGCGATGAATAAGATCTCGATTTAGTAACGGTGCTGTTGATTATGATATAATAGTTGCTCAAACTAAGGCGGGCAGAGTAAAATGAAATCAAAAGCTGTTTCTGGATAGTAAAAATAAAGATGTCATCATGACGGATTTTCTGGAATTTCCTCTAATATCTGGTAGGCTTCTAAAGTTGGGGGCCAGTTCTAGTAATTTAACACAAGTAATCTAATCCTGTTTTTACTGCACAATTATTCTATGCTCTGAATTTATTATGTCAGGACGACGGATTTTCTATAATTTCTCAATTTTTTTCAAAATAATTCCGAAAAATATCAAAAACTCCCCATTTTGCTGGGTAAAAGCCCTCTGTAATGTGAAAATAATCGAACAATGCCCAAAATATTTACCGCCGCACCACTTATGAAGAGCAAATAAATAAGATTACTAAAACGGGAAACAAAAACTACGACAACATTTTGCCTCCAAAAAAGTCATCAAAATGGAATTTTTTGCTATAAAATGGTTTATGGCCCTCTTTCGGAGAACGGATATGGACGCCGGATATATAAAATCGACAACATTTTTAGGGCCAATGCATCAAAATTGTGGTACTGAAGAGTTTATAAAAAAAAATTAGTGGACTTTTTGATGGTGCGTTGTTGTTGTAGGTTTTTTGTCACAGCGACATGTTAAAGGTGAGTGGTAATGGGAAAACAAGGGAAACATTCTTCGTAGGGTTCCTAAAATAAAAAAAAATCCCCGAGGACCAAAAAATTAGCTTAATGAAAAAATAGCGCTATAAAAAAGATCCTAATTTTTTATAGTTGTTTTTGAAGGGCTTTGGTAGAACTTTCATTAAAAATTTCTCTAAAATAAATTTTGAAGTCTTATTTGAAAGTTAGCTATAAAAAATTGACAATTTTTTTAAATTTCTTTCTACCCTTCACTTCGTATTTTACCCCACTTTTAAACTCAAAGGCTATTTCTTTAATAACCATAAACCTTACGAAAATTATGTTTCCGTTTATGAGCAAGAGTAATTTTTGATCCTTTCGTAGCCCGTTTTTTACCCAGTATGAGAACGTAAACCCCATGTCAAACAGCTCCGAAAAGACTGGATTGGATTGCCTTTCATTTCCTGACAACTATTTTTTCGAACATGAATAGAAAAGTAAGGGGATATTGCTATCAAAACGGAACTTTAAACCACAGATTTTGGAGTCAAAATGCTTGGTTTTATACAGTTTACCTTAAGTTTAAAAAACCCAACCTAATATTTTCCCACCTTTTACATCCCTAATTGTAAAATTTTTTCAACATCCCCAAATTTATTTATCCTAACAACGAGTCGTTATGTACACATATAACAATACCCCACTCACAAATTTCATCATCATTACTAATTGTTTTACTATATACCACTTTTCCTTTCCGTGATTACTTTTAATTTCTTGCCCTTTCCTCCAAAATGTTACAATCCCCCTAATTTCATTACTTCCAGACCTCAAAAAAAGAGTAAACGAATGTGTAAAATTACTCTCTTTACAACTATATTTAGCCCGCCTGCTCATAAAAGTGTACATGGCCGAAGAAAAGCCCGAGGTTTTATTCACATTTCTCCCACGGAAATTATTTTTTTCATTTGGCAAATGAAAAAATCCGTTTAAAAACTCGGAAGGGCCACAGAAAATGGCCAAATCCTTTGACCGGAGGGCACAAAAAAGCGAGAGAAAGGAGCTTGACACACTCACTTGTTGCTTTGACATTTTTTTGCGGCTTCAGCGAAATAATTCTTCCTTATCGAGTAGTTTTTTTCGGTTTTGTTTCGTCTGCAAGAAGAATGGGCCAAAAAACGATAAAATGGTCGAATTCGGAGGCCGAAATACGATGATATATGTAGAAGATTGGATGATGTTGATTCCGTAGATACTGTAGCTGATGTTGGAATATCTGTAGATTGTTTGAAAGTGGTTGAAATCTTCAATTTTATGTCATCAGAGATGTCTGTCACAAGAGAAAAAACTCGTGAATTTCGGTAGAAAAGTTATTGGTTTTTGATTCTTCAGAGTTGGCAGTAGACTCCGTGATGTCTTCCGAGTAACTAGAACACGGCTTGGCAGTAGAAAATTGGTTAAAATCGTCAAAAAACTTTCGGTTTTGAGTTATCAGCTTCTTTTATGCGTAGAAGCTCAAAGTTGTCGATAGAACCAATTATTACGTAAGATTACGAGCTGGCAATGGATTCCGTTACGTCCACAAGGCGAGAAAAAGTAATGCTGATTGTTTCTGGCAGTATAAAGTTATGAAAATCACTTAAAGATTCTTCAATTTTGTGTCATCAATTTTTTCTTGCTCCAAATGAAGAAATGTCGAAATTTCCAGAAAAAATCGATGATTTATGGCTATTTTCCGCTGGCCTGATTCTTTGTAGCGTCTTCTGTTTAGCCGAAGATATGACGATAATATCAAATATTACTGAAGTGAAGTTTTGAGGTCTCGAATGTTGTGGAGTAGGTCAGGCGTTGATGATGGTAAAATTGTGATGGAAAAGATTAAAGATGGAAATTGAATACTCCAAGCTTTTAATTTGAAGCTAAGGTGGTCTTCTGAATATATGAGTACTGTAATTATTCACAAAATTGAGATCTTTTAATCTGCGCGAGATAAAAGCAAGAATGGTAAGAATTGCCAAAAAAAATCGCCGTAAAATACAAATTCAACTATCGAAGTCATCTAAAATAGCACTAAAATGCATAAAATAGCCCAATTCTTCTTCAAACCACAATTCCACTTTTTCAAAAGTAACTATAAAACACCCCTAAACCCCCTTGAAAACAACCCTTTCTCTCCTAACAATGAAATTGGCCAACTTAAACCCGAATAATTCCCTCGAGCGGGCTTTAACCGGGCTCTCCAATCTTATTCAAATACCGCGCGCCCTCCCTTCTCAGTCGCAGGTATCGAAAAAAGAAAGTATTCTAATTTTTGACACTCCTTTCTTTTGCTTGAGGCCATTTTGAATGTCCGAAAAGAAGTGTCTGCATGCCTTTTATGGACTCTCCAATGGTAATTGTCTCTCTGGTTCTGGAGACCATGTTTGAAGGGGATAAAAGGAGAATTGAATTGAGGAATAAAGGTCTAGTGTAATGTCCGGGTGCAAAGTTTTTTACAATTTTTTTATTGTTTAAGGTCGAATTGTAAGTCAGAGGTCAATGTATAATTTTTTGTCATTAAAATTTATGCAATCACCGTAATTTTTTTTCGAACAGTCCAAAAAATTGGAATTTTTACTGTTATACTCCATTCTAGGGTCAAGAAGGCATCTAAAGGTAAGTTTTGAACTCTGCAGTCTCTCTATTTTACACTATCTCTCATTTTGGATCCAAAAATTTTTATTTTAGCCCTTTTCTGTCCATTCAAGCTTTAAGCTCCGCCCATTTTCTTAAACCTCATTTATTTTCTCTAATTTCTCTCTCCACACTCTCATTTCCCAATTGTCTCTTACTCAAGACCTCTTAAAAAGCTCTAAAATGCCCGTTGGCCATTTCTTTGGCCAATCTTTCCACCTGAAAAAAGACTTGACCCCGCCCTCTTTCAAGACTTTTCTCGACAGCTGAATGCAATATCCGAAACAGTTAATTCAACATTGTAACCATGGAAACAGCCCGTACAACCAGGTGAATGTCCATTTTTGGGAGAGTGGGAGCTCATTAATTACTTTCGGCTACTCTCATTTTCATTGCATAATTAATGGGGAAAAGGAAATACCCGACGGAAGATACGGACACAATGAATGTAATGGATGGAGAAGATATTTTGGCACAGAAACAAGATGACTTAGCGGTCCAAAATAATTGAAAAATTAAGTTTGGGAAAATGGAAGAGAAAGGAGAATTTTTAGTCGTTGACAATGTATAATTTGTGTAAGAAATGGAGAATAAAACAAACACAAACTCCAAAGAATTGTTTAAAATTTACTGCTTGTGGATTTTGATACTACAGAGTACATAGGAAAGAAAAGTTGAACTTAAATTGTTTAGAAATTATAAAGCCTATTGCTAGTGGAATAAATTTGAAATATCTTGAAGACGTGACAAGGAAAATCGTTGAAAATTTTTAAAATACGAAGTAGCACACATAAACTGGCTAAAAGTGCCAAAAAAAATGAAAACCCACCACAACGAAGCACTGATATGCACTTGAACTTGGGCTCTGCTCCGCCTCTGGTACTACTCTTTCCACAAACTCCACTTTTTTCTTCGGAATTTTGATCAAATGCACTGTGACCGCAGTCTCAACAGTACTATCACCGGGGCTGATCGTAAATTTCCTTGGATTTACTCCGAAGAACTTGAAGAGTAGTACTGATATGAAGATAAACCAAGTGGAATACTCGAAGAACGGCACCAGATCAATGAAGAGGAGGAGCGATGTGACTGTCAGACCAGGACGGCCCAACATTTGGCCATTTATTTGGGATTGGAGAGTGACTCTTTCGATGGCGACATGGCAGCTAAAACATTGATTTTTTAGGGGTTATGGGATGGTGTTGTAAAATACGACACGGCTTCGATTGTGATTTGGGAACAAGGAATTAGAGAAGGTAAGGAGAGGCGGTCAATGAAGAAAACGGTAGCTTATGTAAAGCAAACATTGAAATCGTTAGATTTCTAATTTCAGTTTTACAACGAAAGTTCCCAAAGTGCAGCACTCATAAGGGAAGTCCATAACATTGAAAAAACATAATTTAATAAAAATCCACTTCAGTTTGATGCCTAAACATACGATATTCCAAGCTGATTTTTAATAATTTATTTGTTGCTTTCACGTAAAGTACTTGGCTTTTCCAAAAAACAATCATCTCCAGATACCCCAAGTTTTGCAAAAATTACTCAATTGTAGTTGTAAGGCACTGTAGAGTTCGTCATACAGACCAAAATTACTTCCAATTTCCTCAAACGAACATTTCAAAACCAACGTTCCATCTCTCAAAACAGCCTACTAACCCCCCAATAAACAAGCCTTCTTTTATGCGCTTGTCACTCATAGATGCTGTTTATGCTTAGAAAAAAGTAATAGTAGTATCATTGAAATGCACAAATATACGGATTAAAATTTACCGGCTCCTATGCACACCGTATTTTAAACAGATCAAAGTTATTTAGGTGAACTTACAGCAATTTACAAAAACTAAGCCTTCAAAAAGAGTACATTTATAATTCGGTTCAAATGCACTCAATCTTGTAAAGAAATACCAAAAATATCGATGTAACCCCAATCCCCTCCGGGTTCACAAAAACCTCAAAACGCCGGAGGGGTTTTCCGTCGCGCCCCTTGAGTTGAAGTAGATAGATAAGTATAAGATCGGAAGTCGTAAAAAAGGAATGAATACCGGCAAGTAATCGCGCAATTACTCATATCCCTTCAGGAGGAAATACACTGTCATAAATGGAGGGTATCTTGGAGGATTTAGAAAGTTGGTTAAGCGGGTTGCAAATAAATCATTTGGCCAGAAAAATTGAAAAAAGTAGAAATTTTCGGGATTTTTTGATGATTTAGATAGAATAGGCGATTTTGTCGTACTTTGATCGATGTCTAATTTAATTTTATTAAAAAATTTAAGCTGCATATTACTTTAGACATCTAAAAAGAACTTTTTAAAATTTTGCCTAAAAATAATCAAAACTTCTAAAAACAGATGTCGCAAAAATATAACTGTAATTTTTCAAACGTATTTTACAAACACATTCACCTAACAAACAAAGATCTCAAGCCAAAAAAGAAGACAGTTTGAGCTTGAACGCCTCGAGAAATCTAATTTAGCATACGAAAAAGGGTAATTTCTAGGCCAAAAAATTTTCAGACTTAACAGAAATCAACAGTTACAATCCGTATTTTACCCAAAAAATCTTTCGAAAATCAATTTCCGCAAACTGTGACAAATTTCGACCCCAAGGGCATTTGCGAAAAATACCGAGGAAACAGTAGAATCCATAAATAAAGTCGGGTTCTCTTTTCTTACCACACATCCGAAAAAGGCGAGTGCTCTCTTGAATTTGCCCACTCCCTCGTATGCTCGGAGAAATAGAAAAAAGAGGGCGCGCACGCTTTCGCCAGATGCTGCCCCTGCCTTTTTTGGCTATTGTTTCTTGTCCAGGGGCGATTTATATGTATGGAGCTTCTCTGTTTCGAGTGGTTTCTGTTGTTTGAAGAAAATGGATGATAAAGATGATTTTTGGAGATTACGCAACAGCCGGAAGACATGCAAAGCGTCGAAAGGACGGACTGTTTGGAAAATGACTTTGGGAAAGATACAGTTAAAGAAGGATATAACATATAATATTTGGTTTCTAAACACTTTAGACTAGGTCTAAATTTTGATATCCGCAAATGCAAATTTCGGATATTGCACGACAAATAAGTACTCTCAACTTTGTTAAACATTTCAATACCAGTCTCTAAACGCACCAACAAGTCAGCGATCAGATCTGCCAGCTCCAATATTATTAAGTCAGCGATCAGATCTGCCAGCTCCGTATTTAAAAGTTAACATCGGCTTGATAGGCCTATTACCTCAATTACAACCTGATACGAACAAGTTCGGAGTTGAGAAAGATGGACAGAAACAGGAAACAAGCGCAAAAGAGAAACGTCACGATTTTTGTAACGAGTGTAACGAAGTGTCAAAGAATTATCGGAAACTGTAATTTATGGTATTATCAGGGCCGAAAGTTAACTAAATAATAAAACATGGAATAGAAAAGTGTTACAACTCTTCAAAATCGCTTTCTTCAATTCTAATTCAAGTAAATTTAACATTAAATATCATCTAACATCAAGTATAATATAATCGAATTCTCCTGTTCCTCATCGCAGAAATTTATCGAAGAACTAAGCTTTGATTAGCAGAAAAGACTCCATGCAATGACGCCACCACACCGCCAGCAGAAATTTAGCAACTTACGCCATAAAACAATCACAGAAAAAAATAGAAGGTCACGCAGAAAGATGTAATTTGCCAATGCTGGGATCATTTAGTCTGCCGGAGGTGCCGTGATCGTGTCAACGGCAAACTTGACGCTTTAGCTCCTATAATCTCGCGATTTGTATTGTTTCTCGAATCTTTTTATGTTATCCATGGCTAGTTGCTTCTGTTTTCAGCTTAAATATCCCTTATAATGGCTCCACGCAATCCATTTGCCCGCTCCAATGGTGCTCCAAGCGAAGAGAGGGAAGTAATTGTTCGAACTGTCCCATCGATGAGAAGTTCAGGCTCGAGGCCACGACTAGTCTTGAAGGCCAACAAGAAAGCGTGGAATGAAGCGAGGAAAGCTGAAGCATGGGAGAAGTTGCGGAAGACCGTGAAAGCCCGAAGAAAGGAAGAGAAGGCCAGAAGGAAGGAAGAAAAAATGGACAAGAAGTTGATCGCTCTCTATGCTGGAATGAAGGATGCCAAGAAACCTCAGTAACATGGATGACTATACAGTATTATGTTAATAACTTTTTCCGGTTCGTCGTTTTTAATATTATAATATTTATGTCAATAAACGGTTTGTGAATTAAAATCATTCGGCATTAATCATGTGATATTTTAGTACCTGAAAAACGGATTAAGAAATTTCCTCATTAGCACAATGCTTTAGTCAACGCAACTTTTCGAAAAATCCTTTTTCCTATTGCTCGAATTCGACCTGCTATAGAAGTCCCTGGAAGCATTTTTCTTTTGCACATCATCGCTGATTCGTATTTCAACGGCGGGTCAATAGCCAATCTTTCGGCAAGCGTTTGCAATGTATTCGCCAGCGAACTATTCGACCATCCTCTTTGCCGAAGAGCACGTGAAACGGGGAGAGCCGGTCAGATGTAATGGTTTCCCTAACTTCAGACAACTCTCTGTAAATTTGCCGAACAGCACTTCTCATTAATTAGTAGTTTTATAATAGTTTTCATTCAATCATCATCCATTGCTCTACGACAAGCTGTTTGACCAACAGACAATGATTTTTAGAAAACAAGAAACAATTGATAAGTGTTGTTGTAAGAACTTGAAGCATGTCGTGCACCAACGACTACAAAACACAAATTAAAATATGATGTCAGACATAAAACGTAGAATGACATCAGTTTTTATCGAAATGCGAATGCTCAGAGTTTGACAAGCAAAGATTGCTGGAACAATCGAGATTTATATGCCGAATGTTGCCAAAATAACAGCTAACATTCGATTTGTCACCAGGAGATCAAGATTTCCACATAAAAGACCAAAATTCGAGGTTTGCAAATATGATTTTTTCCTCGAAATGCGCTCCGTATTTTGCGCACTCTTTCGTCGGCAAAGATTACTGAACATCCCGGTTAGGCGCAATATTTGAGGAAATCTGAGCATAGCACATCGAGCATATCTCTTGTGAATTTGGCTTGCATTGAGAACAAATTTGAATGTCCAATCATTTTAAAATACGTTAAATTCATTTTTTTATATTTGTATAAGTTTACTTTAAAAAACTCAACGTATTTTACTTTCTATTTTTTTGCAATGTCGTTTTCAGTTCAAATTAAAAATTCATTTCTCTTTCGATGCATTCAATTAACAGCTTCCTCTCCAAGTTCGAATTCGGGATGCCCACTTAAAGGCGCGTCCAAGTAATTAGCACCAGGCCAATTAACTCGCTCTTTTTGCGACATTGGCTCGAAAAATTTGAATATCCCTTTGAAATCGACTTTTCCGAGCCTACTTTTGACGAATGCTCAACTTATTTCAACGCCAAAGTGAGTCAAATTGCGTTATTTGTAGTTGAAATTATCTTCGCGAGCCATCTCCGAGCCCAATTTCGCCCATCGTTCCGTCCTCTTCCTTAATGTTCTGACTTTTCCAATGCCATCTTGTCGCCTTTTCCTCGTTTTTTATTCAATTTCGTGAGTCATCCCGATTTCTGACCGCAAAATCCTTGAAATCTGGCAAGAAGAGATATTGGAGGCGTGTTTTCGATTTTATTTTGGGAGTGAAAGCAAATTTTAGAGCCTTTTTTATGTTACGATTCTGTTTTTGATTTCTTTTCGGCCTATCTGCACTGTGCAATTTTTATTTTTATTTTTTGCACAGTGCGATTTCCTTCTTGTGGCTTCAGCACGGTGCAATTTTTATTTTTTTTGTACAGTGCAAAATTTTTTTTGTTTTTTGTATGTAACATCGCGCTAAGCAAAATTTTTTTTTGTTTCCAAAACTGCACGGTGCAAATACATTTTTCTACGTTTTTCTTCCTTTCCTTGCACCGTGCAATCAACTTTTTTTGACTGCACTGTGCGACTTTCAACACTTTGGTTTCACTGCACCGTGCATAAAGGATTTCCTTGCCTTTTCCCTTCTGCACTGTGCAGAATTTTCCCAAAGTGTTTTGCACTGTGCAATGAACTGAACAAAAAAAACGGCACTGCTCGTTTGAAAAAAATCTTTTTCACTTATCGCGCAGTGCATTACAATTTTCTTTCTCTCGCACAGTGCGACAAAAAATATTTTTTGATCTCTTGCACTGTGCGCTCAATTCTTTACTTCCTGATTGCACGGTGCAATCAATACACCCGTTTCTTCAATTTAACCCATTTTAACGTATCTTCAAGGGTTTTATTACAGCATTCTGAAGCCCACGCTCTGTTGGTCAAACGGACTTCTGGTTCTCCATCCCGATTGTGACATGTTTGACCAAGAGCAAAACCCGAATTAATGAATATAAAGATTTGCTAATTTTGGTGATTCGGCGAATTCCCCGAGGTTCCCTCGTCTTTATTCATCACTTTTCAACTGTTTCCACCTGATTCGAAGGTGTTCTGCGAACAAAATCGGGGTGAATTACGGTAAGGGGCAATATAAAAATCGGAGGAAAAGGTAAATTATAATCGATGGAACGGTCATATTGAGTATGAGTACGGTAATTAGCAGAAATTTTGGGGATAAAAATGAATTTTTTAGAGCTTTTTGGACGGAAATTTTGGAAAGATAAGTGTCTAAAGTAATATTATTGATATTTAGACACAAACCATAAGTTTCTAAGCATAAATTTCAGTGTAATTCTACGTCAAATATAAATGAAAATGTTCTACAGATCGTATTCTACCAAACCCCTGGCAAATTTATATTACACTAGACATCTACTCTACTACAATATTTTATATAAATTTCCCTGAAGTTTTCAAATTTTTATTTCAATTTCAGTTTTCCTTGGCCATTTATTGGCCATTTTTTCTTCCCTTATTCCAATGATGAAGATAAAATTTATCAAATTTTGACAGCCCGCGTTTGAAGCGCCATTATGACAAATCTCTTTTCGAGCAAGATAACGTCAAAAATAAGTCGAAAGCCGATAGAAAATCCATCGCAATTGCATAATAATATTCGAATTTGGTTTATTTTTAAAACTTATTGATTAGTTCTTAGAATTTTTTTTCTGGTACAATATAAATTTTTGGGAATTTTAGGGTCAGATGATGGAATTCTGAGGATATAAAGGTGGATTCTGATGTTTTTTTAGCAATTTTGATGATTTTTCTATCTTCTTGTTACTTTTTTCTTCATTTTGACACTTTTTGCTACTGTAATTTTTGGTATATTTGTTGTAATTCCCGATCGTAATCGATCTTTTTTACAATGACCTGCATGAATTACTTTCCATTATGGACTGTATAGACCTTTTGACCACTTTATCAGTCCATTTTTCACACTTACAAGCCTACTTTTATCTACTATAATTTCTTCCAAATTTTCAAACTAATGCCAATATAGTTATTCCCATTGCTTTACTATTACTTCTTCTACTTCCGTTTCCCATTTCCCCGTATTTACCCACTTCCTAAGGCCATTTTCCATGAGTCATATCCACTCATTTCCCCGCGAAACTTTGGTTCCCAGACCCCCCGAATTTTTGCATAAACTTTCGAAAGCGAAAAGTCCGTTTGTGGACAGAGCCGAAAGACCCGCGGGTCAGTTTTTTCCAGCGAATTTAAATTTTGGGCCGCGCTTTTGGACATCTTTTTTGGGCCCAAGGAAAATGAGGCCAATTTCTTGGGAATTTCCAATTTTTTCAGCGCCCCCGAATTTGTTTTTCATGTTTTTTGGCGGCGCAGTTGTGATATGGGCATGTTCGGAGGGATGGATAGTGATAGTGAGAACGAGATTAGAGGCTAGCTTATTTTTGCGTTTTTTCCAATTCTATAAAAAGGGTGTCAAAAAATTGAAATTTAGAAAAGTTCCAAAAACCCCGTTGTTATGACGCTTTTCATTTTACGAAAAAGTGAAGGAGTCAACGTTCCTCGTATTTTACATTGTTGACGAAGAATTTACCAATTTTTCCACTGCAAAGTATCAAAAATTCATAAAACTTGCCAAAATCTCATCGATTTTGCCATAAAATTTACCTTTTCACCTAAATATCCCACAATTTGGCGATTCTAAAATTTATAAAAAGTATTTTTGCCTTTTTTACAGTACTTCCAACCCCTTAATGGTAATGATTTGCAAAAACAAAGCCAAAGTTTAGCTCTTCTTTCGGTCCATTCCAAATCCATTGTGGTCTCATTTCAGCGAATTTTTTATGGCCAATTCGATTAGATTTTAGTGGGCCGACCCTCCCAAATTTCACTAAAACATTGCGGAAGGCAGTAAGAGAATGTCTAAAACTTTTTCCGACCTCTGGACATTCAAATTTCAGTTTTTAAAATCATCTTTTTGGCTCTAACCTCTACTATAATATAACAGCTGTAAGATTTTAATAATTTCGAGTAGAACCTCCAGACAAGCCTCGATTTACTCGCATTCTCGAGTATTTGCGATGGGTGTTTGCACTTGAACCCCCATCATAATAAATCTCTTTGCGCGGACCTTGTTTTAAGCAGATCTGATGCCCGAATCAAGAAGAAGGGAGAGAGGCAGATGTTTTGGGCGAATGAAAATGGGACTTCCGTTTGTTTTCCATTGTTCTCGACCCAGAACTGAAGAGTGAGGCGGGATTTCGGAAATTAATCCTTTTTGGGGGATTTTTGGGAATTTTTTGAAAACGTCTAGAAAATGCGTCATTCTGAGGTTGTTACTGCCAAAGTATGGGGAAATTGAGTGTACAAATTTTTTAGTTGTTGTCTCATGGATTAATAAGCAGATTTTTGTTATAAAACCTTTGAATCACTGATATTTAAAATGTGTCATGGTGACGGATTTTCTGGGAAATGTTTTTAAAAATGTCATTTTAGCTGTGTTTTGAAATGATGACATCAGAATGCAAAAGACAATGTTATCGAGCCATTTTCCAATTTAAAATGATCAAATTTTTTTTTTTAATTTGTAAAATACGCCGAGCTTAGATTCGTCTATCGTAAATACTTAATTTTATCCCCAAATTGTCCCCAATTAATCCCCATTTCTCCAAAAACACCCATCTCCATTAGCCGTGACGTTTTTATAATCCCGAGTTGAAAGGATTTGCCGCGTTGAGGTGTTAAAATCGGCGACAAGGCAACTGTTTTTTAGGCCCATAAAGAAATCGCGGCACCTTTTTTGATGTTTCGCTTTTAGTGGTTGGGATTTGAATTCGAGGAGAGAGCGTAAAGTTGGCGGTAAACGTAATTTTTCAGCCTTATTTTTCGAAATTTTTGAATTTAAAAAAAAATGTTTTGACAGATTTTGCAAAGAATTATTTTTAATGGGCCAAAAAGTGCCGGCATGTATTTTTTTTTTTGATTATTACTGGGTGTTTTCCGGACTTGTCCTCATTTTAGTCATCTAGTCATCATGGACAATATAAATCTCTGCTCGCTCATTTTTTTCTCTCCTCGCCTCATTTACACGCCCATTTTACCACCCTGATTAAGTTGTAAACCGTCAAATTTGCCCGCTCGATCAACTTTCGGAGCCTTTTTTTCGGCGATCGAAAACTTTTAGGGCGATTGGGATCTGCATAAATAAATAAAAATTATTCACTGAATTCGGGGGTCAAACAAGGTCGGAGTTTATTGACACGGGGTTTTGAGTAGATTATCAGAAAGATTAGAGAGAGATTTTTTTTATAAATTTTCTGATGATATTGCAGTAGGCAATAATTTCTTTAATTTTTTTTTAGATTTTTTACAAAAAGCGTATTAAAAAAGTAAAAGCTAAGCTTTTTAAGGGCATTCTTGGAAATTTCAGACCGCGTTTTGCAGAAATAACGGATATTTTTGAGTTTAAAAATCTAAAAATCGCAGTTGCGCCTGTTTAAAACTGATGTATTTTTCGTCGGCTTTATCTTTTAAACTTTCATTCTCCGCAACTTTGTTGATTCTGCTACCATCAAACCGTCACAATCTGTCTGCTTCTCTCAATTTACCCATCTTGATCCCCTCTTATCCCCCTGCGTCCCCTTAAATCCTCTTTACCCTCAATTACCATCAAATCCCAATCCGGTGAAATCGTCTTTTCGGATACCTGAGACACGAATTTCCTTACAAAATACCCTCCTTTGGTCGTTCATTCCGGAGGATTAATGACTTTGCGCGAAAATGGGGAAAATTAAAGGGAAAGTGAGGCCAAAACGGGGGAAAAGATGGATTTATTTTGGATATTGGGCATGGCAGGGAGGTCGGGAGTGGGTATTACGTAGTGAAGTGCTTGTTTTCGTAGTTACCAGTGTTCTTGACCATGAAATTTGATGATTTTTGAGTTTTTTTAGTCAGAACTTATCCAATTTTTTTGTTATGAGTTGTAAAATACGTGGAATCAAGTTTTCTTTAACAATTACGCAAGGTAAAGCCGTTTCACTATGAAATTTCTCAATTTTCCTAAAAATCAGCACTACTTTCTGGCCAAAAATCATCTTAAAATTTGCAAAATGCGTAAAAAATTTGCCCATTAATTACTCACCTCACAATCCGCTTGATTCTCCCAGAATCGTCTCCGTTTGAGTGAAATGAAGGTTAATTTTACACGAAAAGCCTTGTTTTTTATTGTTTTACCGATTTTTTCGTCAAGGACGATCTTTGAGCATCGTTTTCCTTCCAGCGAGACGGATTACATGACTACTGAGAGGGGGGTTTAAAAGAGAGCGATTGACGAACGCAGGTCGGTTATCCGATAAGGAAAGGATTTGCGGAAAGTTGGGGATTTGGGGGTTTTTTGGTGGTAAAATACGCTCTTTTTGATTGATCTTTCCTATAAATGGGATGCACTTGACATATTTAAACTTGTTAGAAAATTTGAATATTCAAATTTTAATTTTTTTCAATGTTTTTCCAATTTTTTTTTTTTTAATTCTGATGTCTCATTTGACCTCCTAACATAATAATCCCCATGTTTTTCCAATTGATAAGCTCTATTTTCCCCCAAAATAAAATTATAATCAGCGGCGAAAAGTGGGTTCCTCGATGTAGGGCGGGAAAAATGCGCCTTCAAGGTCGTCGAAACCGACAAATCCCACTTCGGCGGGGAATTTGCATTCTCCGGGTCTAATCTCACCACGCTCCTATCTGATTGTACGAAAGAAAAACGAAGCCATTTGAGACGGATTTATCGGGATCTTCGAGGATTTTTGGGCATTTCTGGGAAACCTTTCGAATTTTTAAAGTTTTTTGAACTTTTTTAAGCATTTTTGGCAATTTTTTACCTTTAAATTTATGCAATTTTGTAGTTTTTTGATTTTTTTTAAAACTCCAAAAAATTCCATTTACTCTGCCTTTCCATAAAATTTATTTTTATTACTCTTTACCTCCGCTTCCATTGTAAATTCCCCAAAAATTTACGTTTTGGAATCGGAATGAAAAGAGCCGATTTTAGCGCGCTTACATTATAATGGATACCTTTTTTGCCCTCATTTTGGAAATGAGAGCGGATTGAATGACTTTTACTGCGCATAAATACACATATGTTTGAACAAATTCGCGACTTTGTCGGGGAATAGACGGGCAAGTAAAATTATTTTCAATTTTTTGGGAGTGGGCATGAGAGTTGTTACTGTAATAAAAAGTTTTTCTCTGTAGCGAAATTTTTGAAATCTCTGAAAATTAATTTGTATGGCAGTAACAAACTGAGCACAAATTTAAATTTTTATTTTTTGAAAACATGGGAGACTCCAGAAACAACCAAGATTTTTATATTGAAAGTTGGAAAAATATGACACTTTTTTAAGAATTTTAGCATCAAACGTTTTAGGCCCATTTTTATTGCAGATGGTTTCCACAAAAAATTATTTTTTTCTACGAAAAAATGACAAATTTATGGCCGAAAGGGTTTTTCCCTCTGACCACTCCCCGCCTTTTGTGTAATCTCTTGTCTAAGATCGTTAAATATCTGTACCCCAAGTGCGACGCTCAGATTTTCTTTAAATTTTGCACACACGTCGGGAATAGACTAAATATCAATTCCTGAAAGTTTTAGCTCGCGCTTTGCAGGCACCGCCGAGATATTGAAAGATTTTTGCCGCCGAGAGAGCACGCTAAACGTGGAGAGCGGTCAGAGAGAGAAACGCTTTTTTGCCATAACTTTGGCAGTTTCATGCGGAAAAATTTGATTTTTTGTAGAAACATTATCCTTTACGGTTGAAATAGGCGTGAAACTTTTCGTTCCAAAATTCGGCAAAAAGTCCTAAATTTTGGCCGACTTTCGATCCAAAAATCTCGGTTGTTTCTGCAAAGCACGAGCTAGGATTTTCGCATGTATCTTAGAAAAAATTATTCTAAATTTGTGCCAAGTTTCATCAAAATCTGAGCGTCGCACTTGGAGTACTTCCCCTGTTAGCCTGTGTCTGAAGTGTGCGCCAAATTTAAAGAAAATTTGAGCCTTGTATTTTATCAAAAAACCTTTGCTTACAACAAAAACTTCTACTAGTTCTTAACTAGTACAACCAATACGACTCAACCTGTTTTGATTTCCGTCGTCTTCTCAAGTTCTGATTGTTCACCCGCCAGCTAATTGTTTGCCTTCCCATGCTTATTCTCCTTACCTTCCCCACTTTTCCCTCATAATAATCCCAAAATAATTTCCCTCCGAACTTTCTCTTCTTTTCCGAAAAACCGCAGAACCGAGCGGAGGTTCAAATAAATAAAAATATTATACAATCGGGGCACTTGAAAAGTCGAGGAAAACGCTTCAAGGTTGTCCGAAAATGTTTTGCGGATTGGGTTATTTTCATATTATAGGTGGGGAATAACAAAGATCGGAGTTCGAAAAGCAGGTTTCGGAAGGGAACGTGGGCTCTGAGTGTGATCTTCTGCCTTAAGTCATCATTTGTCGCTAAACTACAATTACATATGATATATTAAACTTTGGATGTAAAGGTTTGAATCAAACTCCTTTCATTTCACTAATTTTTAAACTAATTGTAATTTTTTAGGTGTAGTTTGGTAATCCCAATCTTTCCAACTTTTTTACATCGAAAAGGGAGTACATTATTTCTATATTAAAAGTCTATAAGTGGAAAATGTCAAATTAAAATTTTTAGAGGTTGGTTTATGGCCTGAGCAGGGTATCTCCGCCAGATTTCAAGAAAATGACCTTATGTTAGGCATTTCTATGAAATTTTTCATTTTTTTCCTTTTTTTAACTTTTTTCCACTCCAATATTGAATCTTCACATCTCCTGGACTGCATACATCCCTCTGCTTATACATATTACGTTTTTCTTCTTGCATGACAACCCCATTTTTTCGAAAAAAATGTCAAAAGGCCATCATGTTGGGCATTGTAATCCCGGTGTTATCGCGTCATAAATCTCTTCTTGTCCGGTGCTGGGGTTTCTTTTTGGACAAACGACATCTCCACCTTCTTCTCAATCTTCGTCAGCCCTTTTTTCGTGGTCATTTCCACGATCTTTTTTGAGGCGAAATCAAAAGAAAAGTGGGATTCGAGTCAGAAAAAAAGTAACAAAGTTATGATTGAAGGAGGGGTTTTTAGGTTATTTCTAGCTCGGCGATATTATTCTAGACGATATAGAGGGCAAATTTAACAAAACCCCAATAAAATGACTACTGTAAAATTGGAAATTAGCATGATATTTCCACAACGGCCTTGACTCGCCACTGTGAAGTTGAGGCGCCGCTTTTTAATGCTTTCTAATCATGTTTTCGCCTGCCGAAAAAACATCTGTGAATCGTTATACGGGAGTAATATGCTGGAGCCGAGCATAACGAACTCTTTTCAGGAGTCTTACGAAAATTTTGGGCGTTATTTTTGCCTTTATTTTGGCATTTTCTTCAATTTTTATCGTGATTGTAGCATTTTTTGATGAAATTTTTAATTTTTGGACATTATAATCGTTAATTCGGCTATTTCAGACATCGACAAGTGTGATTACATCAAATGGAAACCTAAATGACTCATTTACTACCTCAATTCGATCTATAACCGGCGATTTTTGCCAAATTTCTCCAATTTTCTTCGAAAAATCTCAATTTTTACATTTTCTTCGTCCAATATGATGGAAGAAGCCCAATACGATGTTCCCTGGGAATTCAAACTCCGCAATAGCCTGAACGCCTTGAAGGCGCGACCTCAATCCGCGGGACCCGAGCCGGGGCCCTCTCATTTCTCCGATCTCATCGCTTCCCATCATCGCGACACTTCGACGGGCTCTTTTTCCTCCGCCAAAGCTGTGCCCAACTCCTCGCCGGTTCGCGTAAAATTCATCAACACCCCTTCTCCACCCGCCAATGAACGAGGCCAACGGCAAGCCAGTGTTCAACGACGACAGCACGAATATTATCCGAGGGTCAACATTGGGGGTAAGTGGAACATAAATGGTGTAACCGTTGTGTTTGAGGGTTAGCTTGTGTTGAAAACGTCTATACAATGGAGCCTCCGTATAACGAGCGGCAAGGTAAGGGGAAATCGGAGAGGTCGTTGTGGAGGGGGCTCGTTGTATAGAAGTTTTTTTCAAAGCCCCAAATTAGATTTTGGAAAAGGAATTGAAAATTTTTTTAGTAATTAAACATTAATATTCAAATTTTTCAGTAGATCAAAGTACTGACACTCAATTCCATCACAAACCGCACAAAAGTACGCCGATTCTATTTTCGGAAACGCCTCAGGCAGAACGAAGACATCGCTCAAAGTTCGACGAAAAAGCAATGATTCACGAAAATATGGACCGCGTTGAAGCCGAGAAAATACTTTCTAATGGTACGTTTTGTCATTTAATTAGTGTTTAGAACATCTACAATACTTGTTAAATTCTAAAATAGACATTTTTATAAATTTTGACACAAAATAAGGTCCATTCTCACCTAAAACAATGTAATTCCAGGTCAAGTCGGTGATTATCTTCTCCGCCAACGCCCTGAAGGCAACTTGGCCATGTCCTTGAGAGGCCAGAAGGCCGTCTTGCACATCAAATTGGAGCAGCGCAATGGAAAATGGATTCTGGGAGAAGGTCCCGAGTTCAGATCTTTAGGGTCCGTCCTCCGATGCTATCGAAATTCGGAGCTTCCGATTAAAAACGCGGAAAATGTGCGGCTAAGAGAGCCCGTAAGGACCGATGAAATCCACATTGTCACTCAAAAATTGTAAAAAATTAGAATTGTTAATCGAGCTTACAATGACCCAAAATACCGTACTTTCCACGATTTGTGGCCATTTTTACTTTGTAACCAAAAGATTTTATTTCCTTTTATATTGTACTAGACTCTACTTTGATTCCTTTGCTTGTTATTTTACAAAATTATAAATATTTTGGCTAGGAAATTGCGTCTTTTGTCAGCCCCGTGCACCAATAGTTTTGTTCATGGTTAAATTTTTTATTTTTTGACAATAAATTTTTTCAAAATGAAATTTGATTTATTTTTTGATACGGAATGATGATGTTGCGGTCAATCTTCGGCCTTATTTTGATTGGTAAAATTGCCTTGGGAGATTATTATGGAGATGAAAGTTCGCGGCTTTTCTTTGATCCATTCAATTTTACACGTAAGTCTGGGAAGAAATAAGGGGAAGAATCTAGGTTTTTGAGATTGGAAATATTTTTTAAAGATGTGGAACACTCACAAAGTAAAATGCTTACAATTTATACAGTGAGGGACCGGATCCAGTAGCAAAAAACGTCCCCAAACCCTTCCCTTCTCTAAGCTATAAAAAACTCCGCTTTGAAAAGCCCGCCTTGAAGGAAAGGGCGCGCTTTTCAAAACGGAGTTTTTTAGCTTACAAGGGAATGGTCCCAACGATCCGTGGGATCCGCAAATGAAACCTAGATATTCTGAAAGAGCAGGTAAAATTTAGTAGGAGACGTTTTGGTCCCTTCCGGGATGCAAAGTGGGACGTTTTTTGCCACTGGACCCGGTCCCTCACTGTAGACCATTTTTCACAAGGAAAGTACTTTTATGGGGGCTCCTACTTTTTGACGGGACATATCTCAAAAAATCAGAAAAAATGTGCTGATCAAGGATATATAAATCTTAGCTGCCCATTTTAGGTTTTTAGGGGTGAAAACTTAATCGGAAGTTGACTTAAAGTCCTATATAAACCCCTTTTCGCTTGATTTTTCACAGGTTTACAATTTTTATTTTGGCTTAAAATGATGTTTATTGAGTTTCTAAGACGTAATAAATCAGTCTTGGCACAAAAATTTATTTTTCCGACCTTCATCTTCAAAAAAAGTTTATTTGGCCCAAAAGGGAAATCGAACCCGTGCAGCGTCCTCCCCCTAGATTCCCAGACTACGGCGCTAACCACTCGGCCACACCGCTCTCTCCGAAGGTAGAGACCGACTGCGCTTTTTATCGTTTCGAATGCCTGCGCCTTTTGTAGGGAAATTAAGCCAGTTTTTGGGCATTTTCACCCCTAAAAACCTAAAATGGGCAGCTAAGATTTATATATCCTTGATCAGCGCATTTTTTCTGATTTTTCGAGATATGTCCCGTCAAAAAGTAGGAGCCCCCATAAAAGTACTTTCCTTGTCAGAAATAATTTTGGACCGCGTTATGCAGAAATATTCGAAAAATGGAAACGAGAAAATTCGAAAAAATTATTTTCTCGGAAATACTCTTCAACTAATTTTCGATTTTCAAATTTTTTTGAGTCTGAACTGCGGAGAAACGTCAAATTTTTTGCACTGTGCAGTAAATTTTTTTTCTAAAACTGGGCAGTGCGTCGTGAAAAGTCAAAAGATTTTTTTTAAACTATGAAATAACTAAAAAGTAAAATGCATATTTAATGCATACAATCTATTCCAGACCTTGACTGTATTCCTGAGGGTGCATCCTTGCAATACAATTACTACGGTAAGAAGAACAAAACGGCCGAGGGAATCCCTTGTATCAAATGGGCGGAGGCCAAAAAGTTGATGAAGGGTGCAGTTGACCCGGAGAACGCGGTGTAGTAAGTCGATTGACAAAGCGTCTTTTCTGATTGAAGTTCAAAAATTTTGATGATATAAAAAAATTCAGTTTCTTCGCTCAAGAAGATGAAGATCATAATCAATGCCGAAATCTGCGGCTAGACTCCTACAGACAAGTGGATGAGGTCAGTTATGCGATTGGGCATTTTTTTGTGGACAACCCGAGTACTCGAAAAGGCCCTTGGTGCTATGTTAAGGTAATGTCGGTCATGCGTAATATAATTTTTGCCTTTTTTGCCACAAAATTGATTTTCGGAAGCTTTAAACGTCCTGAAATGAGTTTTAATAGTCAATTCAGAGTGTTTACCATCTATATTATGGTTAGATGTTCCATGTGTAATATAATTTTTGTCTTTTTTTCCCTTAATTGATCTTTCAGGGGTCCAAATTTCCATATAATGCCTCTAGAACCCCATCACGATAATTTTGTTCTCCTTTAAGATTAAAAAGCCAGTAAAAAGCTGGTTCAACCAATACAACCTCCCAGTCCAACCTTATGCCTGCTTCCGAAAATGTCCCGGAAAGAAGATTGTAGATGATACGAAGACAACAACTACAACTCTATCGCCAAGAGACTTCTTTCATTACAACTTGGAGATGATTGGAAATCTGACCGACTCTTTTTTCGATGAGATTAACTTCGGAGATGCCGAGGCCTATCTTAATGTAAGTTTAGATCAAGGATTTTTTATATATTGTAAAAATAGGCTTGAAATGAAATTTGTGAAAGCTTAGAGGCAAATTCCAATTGATTTTCCCTACAAAATTGGTTGATTTTCCCAAAAATCATTAAAATGTTTGGATTTCTCCTAAGGTTTCCTGTTATAATATTTCAGCCAAATATGGAGTCCCATCGGAAAAGAAGCGAAGAATTCGAAAAGAATCAATATCGTCTGCTCTATGCAGGAAATGGCCTTCTAATTGTCGTATGCGGATTGTTGATTTGCAGGAAGGTTTGTACTTATATAAAAATGAAAAAAGAAGAAGAAACTGAAGAAGAGGAAGAAGAAAATGAAGACGAGAATAATTCAAAAGTCACTCCAGGTCAAAGTGACTTGCCTGCGGCTTCAAATAATAATCTGCCAGACAATCCAGGTGAGAAAAATTACATTGCTTACCAGTTTTTTTGTGGCTTTTGCCTAGTGTAATATAATTTTTATATTTTTAAAATTTTTAGCAAATAATCCCGCTGCTTCGAGTCGTCCCGACATTGCCTCTGCTATCAACAACCCTGCGGCTACACCTGGCCCCGCTCCGACGAATGAAGCCACTCCGAATAAAGAGGCTGCTGCGGCTAAATCGTGATGCGTGTACAACTATTCGTATTTACAATAAAATTGTCTTTGATATTGCTGGAAAGAGAATGTAGCATTTTAGATCATGCATAGTATAAAATATGGAGATTAACCCTTTGTTATAACGATAAAGGGAGTTATGTTTTTAGAGACTTCCTAGCGTTTTCTTCATGTAATTGTAAAGGTATCAAACATTAGGAGAATCTCGTTCCCGTTCTATCAATTTGAGGTTGTATTCAGCTTTTTTTATGCCCAGAATTTTTGGTAGTCACTTGTTTTGACCAATTGAATGTTCTCCATTCGAATTTCATAGAAAAATGGCGGGTGGTCGGAAGCCAGCAAAGAAAAAAAAGAAAGCTACTGCAAAAAAGTAAGTGATTTGCAAATGTTGCAAACTTATTTTTTGGAAATTTTGTTTCTTGGGTAGTCTTATTAGCCATATCTGACATTAAAACTCAAACTTTTTAGATATTTGATGACAATTTTGTCTAGTACAATATAAGCTCGCTTGATGACTAAAATAATCCCCACCTTTGACAAAAATCTAGCAGCGATCAAATTTAGAGGTCGTAAGGGGTAGTGTGAAACTTTTCGAATTGAAAGGTATATAGATTACAGAGGTATCTTGATTTAAAATTTCAAAAAATCTAATTCTTCTCGTATTTTACAAGACCTCGAAAAGCCTCTAAACTACGTGTCGCACGTCGTCGAACTCGACCAGTCGGAGGAAGAGCTGGGAAGCCAAAGGTCCTGAAGGCTCGAGATGCCGTTATAAAAGCCAGAAATGCGAAGAAAAATGCGAGAAGGAAAGCTATTGCAGTAATGGGACTTCTTCAACTCGGGTTGATGAAAAAATTGAGCAAACAAGAGAAGACTGGGAAGAGAAAAGTTCTCGACATTGGAAGGGTTTATGTGAGTATGAAAATACAGCATTTATTTTTGGTTAAAATACAGCACTTACTTTCACTTTTCAGGACATGAAAATGACCAGTGACGAATTAAATCATCTAATCCGAGAGGTAAACCGAAAACTGAGGATGGAACACAAGGACGAATTGTGCGATATTTGCAGCAAAAATAATGCCTGGAGGATTTTTCTGAGGCAATGTAGTCATTTCATCTGCCTGCCTTGCATTTATTCGTATTTGAAGACCAAAATTGATGAAAATAAGGTAATTTTGGGAGAGAGTTTTTAAAGAAATAAGAAAAAATGCATAAGTAATAATAAAGTAAATAAATAATAAACAGTAAAATTACAATTGCAGGCGAGAATAGCCTGTCCAGTCGCCACATGTCATCGGAGAATCCACGAAAATGATGTGGACACCCTTCTGAATCCACAATTGACGCAATTGGATGAGTTTTTGGGTCCAGCAGAACGTAAACGTCTTCGTGATCAGCATCACTTAACCAGCGTTAGATATGCCCTCGGACCTGAGGAGTGCATTGTAATATGTCCAGGTTGTGAGGTGAGAGAATTTGAGGGATTTTATAAAGAGTTTTGAAGGTCTTTTCGGGTTGAAAGTTTGAATTTTTTTTTGAATTTTCATTGTAATTTTTGGGATTTAAAATTTTTTTTGTGTTTTGGTCATAACATGCTATATATATTAGCTCTACTTTTTGTCAACAAACTTCGATTCATAGTCATCTTTTCCTAACTTTCTTTATTTTAGATACCATACCCATTGGAACCCGGATGTCATTATGTAAAATGCGCCAGCAAGAAGTGTAAAGCCTGGTTCTGTAGTGGTTGTGGTGCCAAGGTCGACAATTTCGCGCATTTTGCCCGAGGTAACAGCGGTTTTTTCAATTTCAATTTATTTCCGCTAATCATCTAACAAAAGTAGAGAAACGGGCCACGATTCGGGGCCAAGATGGGGATGTCACGTCGGTTCTCCAGTTCTGTCCCACCATGTTCAACTTGTAGAAGTTCTTAAAGTCGTCTTCCCAGCGCGTTCTTGGTCTTCCCAGCGGCCTTTTGGTATCGGGCTTCCAGTTCAGAAGCCGTGCTTCCCATCTTTCCTGGTCTCCTTCCACAATCTTCTTCGCAAATTTCCACTTCCTCTTTCGAGCTTCTTGAATCACGTCTTTCAGCTTGGTTCGGCCTCGAATCGTCGCGTTCGGCACCCGATCGATAAGTCGGTGGCAGAGCATATGCCTTTCCATTCGTCTGTGGCATCTGATCAGCTTTGTTTCGAACGATTTTGTCAGTGCCCAAGTTTCAGATCCGTACAAAAAGGCTGGTAGGACACAAACATGCCAGAACTTGCGTTTCTTAGCCATAGGCGTCATCCGGCTTCGCATTAGGCTGCGGACTTTTCGGTAGACATTCCACGCTGAGCTTACTCGCCTATTTACTTCTGCACCGTGGTCTCTTGGAAGGTGTATACTTTGGCCTAAGTACACAAATGACTGTACTAGCCCCAGTTCCACGCCGTTGACCATTAAAGTCTGTCCAGTAGAGTTGGTGACAGCGGTTTTTTACGTCAACTTATGGATAAAAAGCGTTAAAATGTATGAATATTTAAATTTAATTTTTTCAGGGGGAAAGTGCGATATTGGCAGCACCGATATATACCGAATCGCGTATCTTCTCAGAATGCTCTTGACCATGTCCATTTTTGGCTTGATTTTGCTTTTGCCGGCCTTTATTTACGCGATGCACTTTATTTTTCCCTTCGTGGTTGGGTTTGGAATTGCATCGGCGATTGTTAGCTCGGCCAGAAAATGTTTTGACAACGTTTTCTTGAAGATCGTTTTGGTAAGGAGAGTTTTGGAGGCGAATTTTGTTCTTGCTTTTGTCATCTCATCATTTTGCGAAATTCGTGCTTTTTTTTGCCTCATTTCAGATACCTTACCCACATAAATTACCCATAAATATCTTCTAGGTCATCATAGCCATTCTTCCAGCATCTATCATCGGACTTATTTGCACTATTCTCACGGTTCCCGTTGGATTTCTCTTTTCGGTCCTTTATCTCCAATTGATGGCGTTAAGATGGATCCCAGCGAGTATAATGGCAAGTTAACTACTCCCTAAGGTTTATGATGCATTTTTAATCGTCATTACACACGTTTTGTAGAATCGAATTGCGCTTTGGACAATCCGAAAAATCTTGAAATTGATGGGATTCGCTGCCGTTGATTTGGCCTCAAATGAAGGCGAAAGGGCCAAATTGATGGTGGATGTTGATGAATGGCAAGTTGCACAGGAGGCCAGCGAGAAAGTTGAAGCCGGTAAGCAAACATCTTGGGTATTCTTGCGGCTAAAAATTGGGCTATCGGTCTGTCGGGAAAAAAACGGCGGATCGTCGCGCCTCGGAGTCGCTCATCATCGCTTTGCGACTGCAAGCTGCGACTTGGGATTTGGTGCGCGATAGCGGCGAGGCGAGACATTTTGCTGCGACGATCCGCCGTTATTTTTCCGACAGACTGATAACAGCGAAAAAACGTGAATTTTGAATGGAAAATTTAATTTTTTAGGGTAAAATATGATACTTTAAGAAGTTTTTGTCTTTATTCTTGACGAAGGTATATATTTTGAAGCATTCTTAATGAAGTGCCGCATCATTCCCGACCAAAATCATTAAGTTTTGACATTTTATGGATAAAAGCGTTAAAATTTATGAATTTGTTGAATTATGGGCACAGATGTGAGATAACGGCCGGAAAAAATAGATCTAAACGGATGGCACAGCTCATATTCAGTATTAATATTTATAAAAACTTGTTTTCAGATGACTTGAACCAGCTCGAAGCGAAATTGGAAAGAATTTTGCAAGAAGATCGAGCCCGGCACAAAGCTTTGGCCGAAGGTGAAGATGCCTAGTGAAACTCGTATTTTTAAACAAAATAAAAGTTTTCTGAGAAACTTAATTCATGAATAGCTGTTTTGTGGGTGGTTGTCAATATCAAAAAATAACTTAAAACTGGGAACGGGCCTCAGGAGCCTTGGATAGGTTTCATCGTATAAAATGTCGCTATGCCCAGTATGGTCAGAAATGATGTGCTGATAGTAAAATAAATATCTCGGCAGTTTAAAAACAAATCCGAAGCTGAAACCAATTCATCGAATGCTCGTATCTTACAATACATTTTTCAAATAACTTTCTTCGAATTTTCACGTTTTCTGAGAAAAATTTAACGATTTTCGCCTTTTTTGAAAAAAAATTTCCGAAAACCGACCGGTAAGAATTCATTGCAAAATGCTTTTTCATCTTTGTCAACTTCAAAATTGTCTCTTTTTTTCGTCGGTTGGATCCAATTCTCTTATTCATCAAGTGGGCTGACCTTTATTTCGGTCGTTTTCTCTGCCAAGACCATGATGATGGACTGTGAAAATTCGACTGGAGAGATCTACAGCGCCTTGGATCAGTTGGTAAGACAGCACTACTGTTTAGAAGTATTTTCCGCCGGAATTTGCTAAAAATGAAATTGTCATCGTTTTTATGAACTTCATTAGATTTTTTTACAAAAAAAATCAAGAGAGCCCCATTTCTAGTCCTGCAAAACATGCCCTGAGGAATTTGCGGAGTTCGCTCAAACGCTTTCCATGTCCAATGTCGCCCTTTCGACCGGACTGTCCGACCCGGAGATGGATATTGTACTCGAAAATCAGGACAAATTGGGGAGAAAAGTGATGGCACAGATGGATGAGGGCCAAACCGAGGATGAAACGGCTCCAGAGCTTGCAATTGCCGTCTATTGCGACGGTCAAAAGTTGTTCTATGATGAGAATTCGGTTACGGAGAACGGATTCAGCTTCTTTTTCAAGGATTTGTACCTGAAATTCAAGTAAGATTTGCTTCAAAACTTTTTTAATGCAGTGTAAACTGTTGCAGGACCGATTCGACGGACGTTCTAGAGCTCCGAACCGATCATCCAACTCCATACATGGAGTGGAAAGTTGTGGCGCAGGTCCGAATCTCAGCCAGCGATGGAACTCAAAAGTTCAATCTGGTGGATGGAGATGTGTTTGGTCTGGGGAAGTACGACTCTCCAATTTATTTGGAGTTAGATCACTCCAAGGGAGAAGTCAAGGGTCTCAAGGTGGATATGAGGCTGATTTCATATGTGAGTTGAGCCTATTTTACTCAGATTAAATTTTCTGTAGAATGGTTGTTTTTAATGAAATAAAACCGGCCGATGGCTACAACTTGATCTCAAGATTTCTGTGAGACATTTTAGAGCATTACTAGCCATTTTTTGGGGCATGGAGGCATTTCTGGCTAAAGAGGAAGACTTGACCCACAACGAGTCAAGTCTCCCCTTCATAGCAGCGGAGCTGCAAAGACCGTTATTTTCACTTGCTAGTCCTTCAAAGGCTTTTAGCTGCGTACTTGCCTAGTAAAAATTCAACCTCCGAGGAAGATTTGGCCCAAAATGGGTCAAGTGTTCCTCTAAGACCAAAAAGTATATATACAGGGGTGGTCAGTGGGCCGCTCAAAAATGGAAAATTACAAACGGGCCGGGCCCGTCACGGGCCGGGCCGCGGGCCTGGGGTTTTTTCCGGCCCGGCCCGTCTAAATTACAATGCCAAACCGTTGGCATTCATTGTTTTCGCGCCGGGAAAATTAATTGATGTTGTTATAGTTGCTGTTTCTCAAGTTCTAAAACGTTTACAAGTCTATAGTTCCATTATAAAACCACAAAACTATCACATTGATCCTTTACTAGCTATATCAACGCCTTTTTTTGCCTAAGTTTAGATCCCAGGCTTGGGCGCAGTTCGCAAAACCCTCTATAAACGGGCCTGCACGGGCCGGGCCAGGAAAAAGACTAGACGGGCCGGGCCGGTAATTAGACGGGCCGGGCCGCGGGCCGAAAATCGGAAAAATAGGGTCCGCTGACCACCCCTGTGTATATATTATTTGCAAAAATATGACTTGCAATATTACATTTCCAGTCCTTCGACAAGGTCAACCCTTCACTTTTCAAAGACACGGATGTTACAATCACTTTCAACGACGGCTTTGATGACTTCTATACGTACGGCAACCTACTCCAACTGCATTCCCATGTGCTTGGAAACATGGTCAAACACCCTCATCTATTGGACGTTTATGGTCACCCAGTTATTCAGCTGACTCCAGAAGACCGAGAAATGGTCACCGAGTTGTTGGTGCATCTCTACCCCAATTCGCGTCCGATTTATCCGAGATTTCGAACGCTTTGCCGCGCTGCATGGAAGTTCGAATGCTCTGCGGTCAAGTTCAGGATTGGAGAGTGGTTCGTCAAACATATTTCGGTGAGATTTGAAGATTTAAGTCAAGATTTTATGTTTTTACTACTACTGTAATTACAGTAATACTTTATAATTTTGATGCCACTATAATAATGTTTTCTCTCCAGTCGCACAAATCGACCCTTCTCGAGAAGATTCAGGAGGCTCTAAAGCTGGGAATCGGCGATGTGGTGATCCCTCGACTTGTTTTTGACGCCGTCAAGAATGGAGAATGGGCCAAGCTGATTGGCCAAGTCGGCGAACCAAAGCAGTTGTTCCCAGCGGACGTCTACGACGAGATTATTGCACCAGCCTGCCTCTACGCTCGAAAACACAAATCGTTCGCCTGGCCCAAGGCCTCGGACCTCGTCCAAAGGTAAGTTTTGCCATGGATAACATAAAATTTTTGGAAAATTTTAAAATCTCTCTCCAAATTATATTTATAATAGTTTCAAAGATAACTGTAAGAATTACTGTGTCATAAGGCTCGTTTCAGACCCAAGGATGACAGCGATCCGTCAGTGGTTCGTCTTGTGTATAGTGGAGTCACTGTCCTTGCTCATCGCGGACTCCTCCAAGCCCATAATATGTCTCGATTTGGCGTCAGTGCTGCGACGGATCGAAAAGGTAATTAATTTTGAGGCATTCGAGTCGCTCATTACATTTCACAACAATTAATCCCAATTGAAAAGCGCTTTTTTAGCTAATCGTCTCAATTATTGATTGAAATTTTTGAACACTTCGTTACAAAAAGACGGTCCAACAAATATTATCACCTCTCACTTTTGAGGACATCGGCGGATTGGTTGAATAGTAAATAAGAAGGAGGGAATAGAGCTCTATCTGCACCACCTAAAATAATTTCTGCAGTTTTTACCGTTTGCAAGATATAGCCACCTTAAGTATTCAACAATTGCAATCTTTCCCGCGATCTAACCGACTTATAATAACGAAAAATCGCATGAAACTTGGAAGTCAACATTGACACATTCTTATCAAACAGCATGCAAAAAATCGCGGCACATTTACTACTCGGCTGAGGAGTTATACATCAATTTTTCCCCATAACAAAAGTCAGTTCCCGGCTTTTTGGCACTTTTTGGCATTCTGCAAATGGGAAAAATAAATATAAAAAAGTCATGAAGATTTATATATTTTATCAATTATAGTGTCTTTATGTGTTAATTTAGACTTTGATGGCTCATCCCCATGTCATTTGTCAACTTGCCGACGTCTGAGGGAACTTTCGGCTAGGAAACGGGACTTGGAAGGCGATAAAATGGTTTTTATAAAAAAAATTTTTCTTTGCAAATTCTTTATTTTGCAGAATGCCAAACTCCCTTCCATTTTCGTGGTGAGACAAAAGACTGCAAGCGAGATTAATTGTTGTGTTTATTTCGACAGCCCGGGAAACTTTCTTGGATAGGGAAAGGTTTGACCCATCTAGGTCAAGTCTTACTCTCTAGAAGAAACACGCAATGTTGCGTGGATTTCTGTTGCGTAACGTGTTGTAGAACGCGTCCTAGGGCTTGGAACCTTTCTGAACCAGAATTGTTGCTTTTGGTTAAACATTATTTACCTCTTGTCATGTATAATATAAAATTTCTCCGATTCTTTCAGAGTACTATCCAATCTTCAGTGTGGAAACTCGTGAGTATCTGAACAACCTCCAGATTGATCTTCATCACTTTCTCGATGAGTTCGTGGACTTTGTGTACTACAATAAGCCGATTTGTGAGACTTGTATCCGGCCGATGTTGATCTTCGCCCACGACAATGAATTGGCCTATTTGAAGGGTGAAATGGAAGAAGTAAGTTGCGTTTTCATTTATTAAATTGTTTCGGTTTTTAGGCCATTGCTTCGCAGCCACCAATCTCCACAAATATCATGAGAGAGCATCTTACTTTAGCCTCCAAGTACGGGCTCGACAATTTGTTGCGGACGACGTTGGTTAGAGCTGAAGGACATTACATTGCGGTGGCTCAGGCCTTGGTGGGACAGTCTGGAATCGTCAATGAGCTGACGATTCCAACCATGAGAAAGTTGGCTGATCGATTGTGCACTGGATGGTCTTTAATTAATCGGAAAATGGCCGAAAGGTAATTATTTTTGTTTTAGGTATTATTTTAGAAGATTATAGAGAATATAGGTTGTGATTGACGTCGTGGAGAAGGATTTTATGAAATTTCTATGGCTTTACCAGCGCAATTTAAGTTTTGTTTGAATCTCTAATATTATTTTTGGTCGTATTGTAGGAAATTCTTTTAGCATAGAACAATTAGACATCTGAAAGCTTTTTCTTGACAAATTACATGTTTTAAATTCTCGCTTCATAAATTTTTGTCACCTTCCTTCAACGTTTGGCACTTTTTACCTTGTCGTCATGATTACTATAACAAGCTCGTTTAGAACGCCCACGACAAGAAATGTTCGCAGAATTTTCCTCGACGAAGGAGGCCCAGTGGTCCCAACTGCTAATCCAATCCTTGAATCATTCTATGGCCTCAATTCGGATGATGCGTATGGAGATGCAAATTGAAAACCAAGAGACGTATAATTAAAATGGGATTTTATTGGGAATAAATTGTGCATGCAGTCATTTTTTGGAAAAGATTCGAAGCTTTGAGGCTGAAGTATCTGGAGGATAATGGTTAAAGCAAATATAGTATAATATATATTTCATATTTATGGGCTATCATATTAGTAATGTAAATTGGATAATGGGACGAGAATTGGAAGTTAGTGACATAGTGACGGTGGTGTCGTGGTAGTCCTCCTCTTCATAATCGTCTTGGTCCTCATTACATGAGAAGGCGGAAGAGTCGCTGGCTACGTTGGAGAAGGTTCGCGAGGAAATCGATGAGGTAAAAAACGTGCTCAAAAACATTTGGATACTGTTTTTGCCGATAAAAATCAATTTTTCCAGCAAAAACGGGTTTATCTTCCCTTCTCCGAGAAATGCAGCATGTTATACTTCTCTTTCTACGACCTGTACCTCACCAATCACATGTACAACTTCAATGCGGGCGTTCTGCTTCAATTGTTCGACAGGATCTTCCAGAAAAACCGAAATGTAAGTTTTTCGTTTTGCTCGGACACGTTTCGTCGTATACAAGCGCTTGCAGGCTGCAAGGTTTTTTATGTTCCCAAATCTCTGTAAAATAAATCTAGATCATGGAGGGTGTAATTAGCATGATGTCTCAGTGAATATCAAGTCGTGAGCTTCTAAATTTTAGGCGTCGACCGATGTCCAAGCCAAGCTTGAAATTATCTATCAAGAATTGGTCAAAAGCACCTTTTACTATGTCTCCCGAGCTCTGTACAAACAGGATCGTCTGGCATTTGCTCTACGGTTTGTGAAGGTCGTTCACGATAAACTGTTCGATGACAAGGTAAAGGTTTCGAACTGTTATTTCTGTTTTTAGATGTTGTATTAGGTACCAGCGAAGAATAAGGCTAAGACAGCCGTCTTTGATAGGTGTGTTACCTAAATTCATGCCTAAGATTTCCTCTTGCAGGAGTGGAACTTTTTCTGCGGCAACCTGGTGGATGAAGCGGTCTCGGACACTGGATCTGCACCTTCTTGGCTGTCCGAAGAGGTTCAACAACAAGTCGCGAAATTACGAGCTTATCTTCCCAGTCTCTACTCACAGTTGGGTTTGGAAGATCGATCTTCATGGACAAACTTTCTGCAGAACAATAGTAGCCAGCTTCCGGGGCATATTGATCAGAAGCTCTCAAATTTCCAGAAGGTTCTTGTGATCTCAATCTTGAAACCGGAGAATGCAACCACCGCAATGACGTCATTTGTTACGCGGAGTCTGCAAGTGCCGTCGATTAATCACCGTCCAATGAGCTCATGGAGGTTGTTCCAACCGAATCTTTGCCACCTAATCGGCCGATATTGCTGATCCTCGGAACTGGTGCTGATCCCAGTCAAGAGATCCGAGATGCAGCTGAGAAAGTGTTGAAGGATCCAAGGAGGCTTCATGAACTTGCCATAGGGAACCGACGTCAGAACGAAGCGGTCGAATTGATGAGGAATGCAATGGAAAAGGGGGAATGGGTGTACTTGAATAATGTCCATTTACTGCCAGATTTCTTGCTCAGAATTCACTCAGTAAGTTTTATTTTTAAATGTTATTTCTTTCTAAGTTTAGGTCACTAAAAACACATCTATTTTCGACTACCTTTGAAGCGAAATTTATATTGTACTTGATATTAAAATCAATAATTTTGACTTCAGGAGTTACACAGCAAATCTCCGAATCCGGCCTTCCGTCTATGGCTGAGTGCAGAGCCAGACAACCAGTTCCCAGCGGTTCCATTGCAAGACGCACTCAAGATTGCGTACGAAACGCCTCCGGGAATCAAGCACAATGTTAGCGGGACTTTGAAACAATGGATTGAGTTGGAAGGAAATAGTGGGAAATCGGAGTTGGAACTGAAGACTCAATTCTTGTTGGCGTGGTTCCACGCTATCATCCAAGAAAGGAGGACGTATATTCCACAGGTAAAGTTATGTTATCCATGATAAGATTTTTTTGAAATTTAGGGATGGCTAAAGTTTTACGAGTTCAATTCGAACGACTTGAGGGTTGCCAGACAGGTCCTTGATGCGATGGGTTCAAAGAATGGTGAGTTCTTTGCGTAATTTTTATATTTTTATTGTTTAGGTTATAATTGGGAAGCGATTCGCGGATTTATGGAAGATGCGATATATGGGGGAAGAATTGAGAATCAACTCGACATTGGCGTACTGTCAGCCTACTTGGACAAGTTTTTGAGCCAAAAAATGGTGACGAGTAGAGATGGGGAACTGGATTCAAATCTTAGAATGCCCGAGGCTAAATCAATGAACGAATGGCTAGATTTTGTCCAGAATAAGGTGAGGAATGCCATACGAGTTTAGTAATAGTGCTACCATCCGTATGTAGCTGCATATTACGGTGTTGTGCGCTAGGGAAAGGCTTGACCCATTGAGGGAAAGTCTTGACTCAGGTCTGGAAAACGATGTAATTGGTATCAGAAATGTCTCGAGGATGAATTACAGCCTTTTTCAGATACCAGAAGTGGACAAACCATCGCTGTTTGGCCTTCCCGAGAATCTTGGAGCGACTTATGAACTGGAACAAAGTCGACAAACAATAAATGCTCTCAGGTTAATGCAGAAATATAGCCGATCATCGACATTTGAGGCCTTCAGTCAGTGGGCAAAGAAACTTCAACCAGTTCTGGCATTTTGGAAGCGGCTTCATCAACAGAATGACCTTCTTCAGGCAGAATTGAGGGATTCCGACTCGACTGACCCAATTATTGATATGCTAAACACCGAGATGCACTTTGGAATTGGACTGGTAAGTAGTTGGAGGCCATTAGAATTCGAAATTTAGGTGATAATTTTGCTAGATCATTGTTTTTTAAATTTTTGTACCAAATTTATTTTGTTTTAGGTAAAACAAAATCCATTCGACCTTGACCAACATCCGGAAAGGTCTTGCCGGCAAGCTTGCCCCCACTGCCAAGACAGTTCAAGCCGCGAAGACACTGTTGGACCAACAAACCCCGGTGGATTGGGATCTAATCTGGCCGGGACCCGAGGATTGTTACCAGTACATGGAGAAGGTGTGCGATAAGGCCAGAAAGGTCAAGAAGTTGAGCACCTCAATAAGTGGACAGGATCTGCTCAACGAACCTATAGATTTGGATCACCTTTTCCGGCCGACAGCCTTACTAAATGCCCTTAGGCAATATAGTGCAAGGTGGGTGGAAAATCGAGGAAATTATGGGGATTACGGCAGTTTTTGGGCAGTTTCTGGAGTGGAAAGTGTTGTAAATTTGAAGAAGAGAGTTTTTTAGTTGAGCTAGAGCTGTTACGGTAGTTTTAAAATAAAAAAATTTATTTTTTTTGTTGATTTAGTCTACTACAATATAAAATTTTTTTTCAGACACCTAAACGTTGGCGTGGACAGACTCCAATTCGCCACTGGCTTGTCCAAAATACAGTCCAGAGCCCCCTCGATGCAGATTGGCCAACTAAAAATTCAGGGCGCCGTTCTGGGAGGAGGCCATTTAATGGCTGTGGACCAGAATTCTGCAGCGATTTCTTCGGCTCCGGTCATAGATGTGGCGTGGATTGGAATGGTAGGATCAGTTTTGGGGTGTGGGGGATGTTTTCGACAAGATTGGACGATTTTTTTTTTTTAGGATGAACCCGAGCCATATCGTCAAGAAGAAAGCGCCGAAATCCCATTGTTTGTGGCCTCAAACCGAACGGAATTCGTATGCCAAGTGAAAGTCCCGTGCTCCCAAGGCCAAAGAGATCAGTGGGTCCTGGCGGCGGTTGCGTTATTTACCCGGATTTGATTCAAATATCATACGTGACGTTTTGCATTTATTTTTTATAAATATATTGTTGTGTGATTGCATGATCTCATTGAATAAATAGAAGGTAATTTGTAGCTTTATGTTAGATTTTTTCTTCAAGACCGAGTACATTGAGCTTTGAGGCAGCTGGGAAAAGTCACGATCAAAGAGGATCTCAATTTTCTGGTTGGATTTCTTCAAATTTTCGGCGAGTTGGTCCATCTGGAAGTAAAATTTTATAAAAGTCATCATGTGCAATATCCAAAAAAATTAAAATTTTAGACAAAAAAACCAACTAGACTACTAGATCGAGTCCCAAGCGGCCATTAGACACAGAGGCTCTTCGACGTTTGTTTTGAGAAATCCACTGGCCGATAAGGCACCAAACTCATTCCAGTTTAAGGTTTCTTCTCCATACATGGCTGGAAACAGTAAGAGTCAAATCATATCAATTTGAAAAAAGATTTTCGCCATTTCCCGATATTATACATGACAGAAAAGCAACATCTGGTTGAAACGACTTACAATACTCCTTATTTGAGCTAATCCCACCCTCAGAAAATCCGTCAAAGGCTCGAGTATGATCTCGAACCAAGAGAATTCCAGATATACTTGTAGAAGATACCAGTTTTGATAACAACTCTCTAAAAGAAGAATAATATAAAAAAACTTTACCAAAGCTCAGCGGCCAAGCCCTTACCTTGTCAAACCATTCACAGCGACCACTGCTATGAGCTCGCTGAATCCCCATGGCAAACTTTTAACGGCCGCCTCAATCTTTGCGGATTCCTTGATCTGAATCAAAAGACCAACATTTCCTTTTCTCCCATCTAAATTCATTCAGAAGCTGATAAAAAGTTGAATCACTAAGCACAGAGGGTTGCTGTGGGCACAAAACGATCTAAAAGTCCGTAAACATTAAAGAATGCATCAAATCAAAAGTGATCAAACAGAATTCATCAAAAACTCACCAAAACGTGGCATTCATCCCAAACATTTTGTCCATGCTCGTCCAGATACCCACAAAATTTTATGACATCCTCCGAAATATCACAACGCGTTGCAACGTTTCAAGAATTTTGCCAACAAAAAAAAAATTTGAATAAAATTGAAAGAAAAAACACAAATTCTGCCACGAATTTTCACAAAAAACCAAATTTGCATATTCGAAATTCACCAAAATTTCGTTTTCATTTTTCTCATTTACCGGTAATCCCCTTACGGTATCAAGCTCCCGCTCACGCTATGGCCAACTCCAGCGAAAGCACCCGCTCCGGCGAACAGTCCGCCATTCCGGCGATGGCCCCAACTCCAAACACCGCTGCCGTCCCGGTGTTTGGGGTTGGGGAACGGTCGACGTGTAAGTCCAGGGGATTTTGGGGATTTTTTTTGGGTTTTGTAGATTCCTATAAGCGGAGATCTCAAGTTGGGAACTTCTCAACAAAATACCAGGAAATCCGTCACCATAGGTCAATTGAAATTGCCAGTCATCTGAAAATTCCTTTTGACATCTTTCTGCTTCTTAATAACACCATTTTTGGTCCAAAAATCCTAAAATAATGATATTGTAGTAGATGATGACAATGTATTTCATGGGTATTTTGATGACGAAATCCCTGCTTTGAGACCCGCAACGTGGTTTTAAGTTGATTTGAGATGATTTACTTTGAGCTTAGGGCCAATAATATGCAAAAATATTTAAACTTCCTTCGTTCGTCTTCCTGATATCTAGCACAACATAACTTTGAAGACAAATACTTAAAAAAAGAGTTCAAAATAGTTGGTTTTGAACCCTGTTTGTCTCAATTTATTTGATTTGAAACTCAAAACTTCTTTATATTGGATTTCACCAGTAAAATAATGAAGTTTGACGATCCATTTTTGGCTGGTGGGTTTCTACCGTAAATCCCGCCAGAAATGAAAAAAAAAACTAGGCCTAATGGCCCTGAAAATACACCAAAAAGCCTGGGAGTGTAATATTCCAGGCGAATATGACACTAAAAAGCTTTCTAAAGAAAGTAATTTCATGGCTGGTGGTGATTACTGTAAAGCCCGCCGGAAATCACTTTGTTATTCTGAAATACAGCCGAAATTGGCCTTGATAACATTTGTTGCAACGCGAGGGATCGATTTCCGCTCAATTCGAACCCTGGAAGTAAGTCTAATTTTTTTGAGTTTAACAGTTTTTAGAACCTACAACGTCGTATGAAGAAGATCGTATCCACACAAATTGAGGGTAGAAGGACAAATTTTGGGCATTTTTTAGCCATTTTTGTCGTATTTTACACAAAATTCAGAAAAGTTCGAACAAAAACAATCGGCATTTCGAAAATTTTAAAAAACCAAATTTATTAAACGTTTTGATTTTTTTAGAAAGTTTTTTGGAAAAAAAGAAAATTCTTGAGTTTTTTAACCCCCCCCCCCCAGGCAATAAAGTCAGATTTAACAATATTTACTAGCTGGAATAAATCACGACCCTAATTTTAATATAAATTTTAGTCCAAAACGTAAAAATTTTTCCTGAATTTTGCCCTACACCAAATTATGAACAATATCCCAGTCCGAAATCTTCGAACCTCTTACCGAAGCCTCCAAATACAACTTCAAGAAGATCCTTGTCATCAATGAGGTGTCAAATCGGATATTATCCTGATGATCAACATCGACTGGACAATGCATATCCACGGAATCAACTCCGATTCATCCAAACAGACTCTCATCACTTCAGTGGCTCAAGAACAAGTCGAAGATGGATCAGTTCTGACAATTTTGGCAGTTCCAGCACTGTGTCCTCCAGGGAACCACCTAAAATTCTATCTTCTTATTATAAATGCCGTTTTCATACTGTATTGGTCATAAATCATTATTATACATAGCATTTTGGAATATTCTTGGAGCCAAAAATCCCCAAACAAACACTAAACTATTCACTTTCATGGCCAGAAATGGTCTTACATTTGTGTTTTAATCCAATTGCCATCCCCTTCCATCTCTAATATGCTCCTTGGACCAGGTAAAGATTTTTTCTGACTTCTTCCAGCCGTTTCCGTTGTTCCAGTAATTCCAAAATCAACATCTCGATGGGTCATGTTCTCCCATCCACGGTCACGTTGGAGTCCTGAAATATCAACCATTACAAATGGATATCCATATCTTTATAAAATTGTAATTTATAAAATATTTGAATAAATACTTACATTACTTTATATTCTTTATATCCATTGACTTGTGTTGGCTTATAACCGGGGTTTCGTGTAAGATACCACTTGATGACACGACGAAGTACCTGGACCTTCTCATTTGGACCAATTCAAGTAATGGACTGGCTGTTGAAGATCGACATCTACTGGACCATTTCTCCGATGATTACTCACGGTTAGAGTCGCATTAGACAAATTCCAAGGGGTGGGGAGCTCGTCTCGTCCATGGATGGACGTTATTGAAGTTTGTTCTTGGCCTTTGTCCTCGTTCTTCTTGTCCGAATCTTGTTGAATGACTTCTCGAGGTGTTCTGTGCTGTTCTCCAGGTGGACGTGATTTCTCGTCGTTATGGCTCGTCGAATTTACGGTTTCGTGCCGCGTGGACTTTTTCAGAGACTTTACACATCGGCTAAAACACCGTGTTCATCATCTTCTCTCAGTCTTAACATCAAAAAACCCCAGCAAACCGACTTACCGACTTGACCAACATCAAAATTCACCATCATGACATTGGACTCTTTGGAGTTACCACCTTCACAAGACTTCCAAAGTGTTCGCAAAAAAAGGGTGAAGGATCATCGATCACCCAAACATTCCATTCCATCAACAATCCACCATCAAATTTGTTTTTACGGCAGGACTCCAATTGAAGTAACGAGCCTCAGCAATGATTTCCTTGGCCTGAAGATTATTCATGACATCAACACCGTCTTGGAAATTATCGAACAATCAGTGGATATCTGGAATGAAGCATGAAAAAGACGATTAGAAGGAGAAAATCCGAAATTACACCAATTTTTAGACGTTTTCGTCCATTTGACCCCGACACTTACCTTATTTTAGCTCAATTCGAACATCCAAACACCAACCTGTCCATTTTCATCTTCATGAATCCAATCCATTACCTGTTTTCCATGATCTTCACGTCGGCACCGCCACAAACCATCCAAAGCTTGTCCATCCGCACCTAATCTTCTTCCATCGAGGAGCAATCATCATTTTGCTTCGGATCAGCGCCATCAATTTGCTCTTATCTCATTTTCTGGGGTCCTTTTGAAGGTTCTCCTTGTTCCACGTTGTCGTTTGAGCCGATCTTCGGTTCATTCAGTGTTCTGCAGCTTTCGAGCTGCTCTGCTGTCGATTTCCTGATCACCACTATAAATACGTCTTCCGGTCGCCATCAACATAAAAAATCAGCTTGGGTTTCTTGTCGTTTATAAGGTTTTCGTCGCTGCACTTCAATCTGGATGGAATTTCAACATCATTGGACCGTTTTCTGGACATATGGACAATTCTTCACAGGGCTTTGGGTGAATTATGGAATTTTCGGTCACCGTGGACTTCAGAATCAAAATTCCGGATCTCCAGCATCGGGATCTGCGTCTAAAAGCAACAAATTACATAGGGAAAATTGAGAGAATATGATGTTAGGGCCCTTAGCGATAGAGTTAGCAGTTTAAACCATATTTTTTGAATTTTCGTCTAATTTTGGTGATTTCAGTGTCTCCAAACAACGTCGGCCAGGGTTCCGGCCCACGCTCGTGCCCTCCATCCGAGCGCCAAGCCCATTCCGCGCAGGCTGAACAACTGCCGGCGGTAATGGCCCCTCCTCTGGTTGGCCAGCACCCAACCGGCGTCCCAGAGGAGGGTAAAGAGGGGCCAAGCCCAGCATCTGGCCTCTCTGGCTTCGGCCTAAATAACGCCCCAACCGTTCAGGCCGAGCACCTGCCGGCGGTTGAGGGCACGGAGAGATCGAGCTCACCACTCGATCTCTCCGCCCCCAGCACGTTGCAGTTTTCGCCCGTCTACAGTCCCGGGCACTCAACGTTGCATGGGGTCCCCTCAATAAACTCAATGGAAGTCTTCGATGAGGGGGAAGACTGGGCGGTGGACGAGACGGTCGAAGACAGAATCGACCGTCTCGAATACGAACGAAGACTATGGAAGACCGAATGCCGGAAGATGTGGCAGAGGCAATCGAAGCTCGAGAAAAATGTGAGGTACTATGAAGGGGCGGTTGAAGAGGCCCAAGCTGAAGTCAAGAAGGCCAAAGATGAAGCGGCCGCCGCAATCAGAAAAGCGGAAGAAGAAGCCGAAAACAAGATCAGCGAGCTCCAAAGAAAATATTTTGGGGCCCTGACCGAAGCGGACCGTGCTCAGAGGAAGCAAAAGGAGGCAGAAGAAGAAGTCGCCCGTCTCCAACAACGGCTCATGGACAATTTGAAAAAGGCCGCTCCTCGTTCACCAAGAAAAGAACGCTCCAGAAGTCCACTGACAACGGCACGGTCACGAACTCCCGACGCCCAGCCAAGTGCCTCGCCGACACCTGAAGCCGAACCAGAGCTTTCACAGCCGTCCTTCGACGTCCAGGCTGTAGAAGAACAACAGCATGATGCCCCAGGGCCCCTCCGAAGAATGCCCAAGTGCAGGAGGCGGTGCTGCCAGCCGCCGCCTCCTGTCAATCAACCTCCTCGGCCTCCCCGAAGATCAAGGGAGGCTGAACAACTCGGCCCAATCATTGAACCCGTCGTGTTTGACGAAAGGCCCAGGAGGAGGAGCCGCCAGCCTCCAGCCCGACTCGTCGTCGACATGATGAGAAGAAGCTACGCATCAATGCGGAATTCCTTGATGCCTCGTAAGTTTATTGGCTCTTTTTTTACTCGTTAGGCCAAAACCCTCTGGAAATAAACCAAGCTGAGGTGTTTTTTGAAGAAAAAATACATTATCCGTATATAATTCTCAATAATATCTGTTTTTTTCAGGTAGAAGGACTCAAAGGCCCAATGTTCAGGACGAGGCTCCTTGGTTACTTATGTGAACAACCCATACTGAAGACAGAGCTCCGCCTTCAGCACCTAATTACGTAAGTTTTTGGCAGTCACGCCTCAATAACCTCTATTTTTCAGTAATTGGCAAAAATTCACTCCCAAAATTAAAAAGAACTTACCATAAAGCTCTTCGGGGACCAATCATCCGTTGTTGACCACAATACCCCGCCTATACATCGTGCAGTTGATCAGTACGAGAAAATGTAAGTTCTCTTTTATTTCCAAAAAAATAATTATTTTTGCGAACTGCGCCCGAAAAAAGAACGTTTGCTTTTTTTGCCATACGCTGGTGAATTTCGCGGGTATAGTATAATATAATTGTAGAAGATGGTGGTAGAACTAGCTGTAAAGTCGCGTGTAAACGTCTTTCAGCTTCATTTTTTTCTGGACCTCCCTGATTTTACAGTTTTTTTGAGTTTTTCCCCCATTTATTGTCTAAAATAACATAAATTTTATTTATCCTTTTCTTTTCAGCCAATGCCAAGTCCAGGAAGGCATACAACAAAGGTGGAGCACCCTGGCCCCCCGAATGAGCCCGGGGGGCCTTCGTAAAATCAAAAAGGGTGCTCACCTTTTGTTTCCGGCCCCGGTGTGGACATTCTGGTCGAACCGGAGCACCCCGGCCCTCCGCTTCACTCGGGGGGCCTTCTGGAAAATCACGGGTGCTCGGCAAGACCAGATAAAGTAAGATTTTGTTATTTTTGGACCTTGATTTAACCTGAAATAATACAATCTAATTCTATTTTCAGATGGATCAGTCCGAACCGAAGTGGGCACCCTCGCCCCTGAATCAGCTCGGGGGGCTTTTGGAATTAAAAGGGTGCCCCACCTTTTATGGTCAACCTTGTGGATTTTGACTAAAATATGGTAAGTTATCGTGTTGAAATTATATTTTTACTTTTATTTTTTCAGAATCCCCAAACAAGACGAACTGCGGGAAAACAGGAGCACCCTCGCCCCCTGAGTGAGCTCGGGGGGCCTCTGGAATTAAAAGGGTGCTCTGTCCAAGTCCTAAATGAGCTCAATTGCGCTTGGATCAATCCTAGAGCAATTCGGACCGGAATGGAGGTATGCTTACTTTTCGTTTTTTATTTTCTTGTCAATGAGATCTCACTAGATTGGTGTATATCATCTCCAACTTTTTTAGAATTACGCCAAAATGGTCTCCATTTTGGTCTGCTCGACTTTGATGATGAGCCCACGAGCAGGAAATGAAGTAAAAGTTTTCTACTATAACTTCAAAGCTCTTTTACTATAAGGTAAGTGCTGTTTTTATATTATTTTTTTGGTGATTAGAGCGTTTTTAATAGAATTTTGTATGATGTTGTAGTAGACATCTGTTCATTTAACTTGTCTTGGCGAAAACCTGCAACTTTTGAGAAAAAATTATATTTTGACAATATTTTTTGAAATTTCTAGAAAATTTTTCGTTGCAACGTTGGATCTGATGCTCAGTCCAATGCAGAAGATAAGTTATTGGGCCCCAAAGTTCGCAAAAATTCGATTTTCTCCGGCGTTTTTCCGCTAACCCGGTGGCCCAAAGGCGCCAAGATCTACTAATTTAAAAATTATGCATCCTTGACAATATTTTAATCGTAGGTTCATGTTATTTTGTGCATTACCCACTGCACAGTCAGCTAAAACATTAGAGACCCTTAAAAAACCGAATGCCAAAAATCTTGGCATTCTGTTTGTGGTTTATGTGAGCCGGCTTTCGAATAATTATCCGGGACAGATACGCTTTAGGAAACACTGACCACCTTTGTCAAGGGGTTTAGAGATATTTTTACAGTGTTGTCACTGGTGTTTTTACGTGTTAATTTTTTATTTTTCAGAGATCCTCTTCGATACCCACCACCGAAAGGATAACAGAGAAAAAAAGCCAAAAAATAATTAAAAGGCAAAAACTAGAAGAGCCAAAAAAAATGAAAAGGCAAAAAAAAAATAAAAAAAAGAAGAGCCAAAAAAATTGAAAAGGCCAAAAAAAAAAAAAATAAAAAAAGAAGAGCCAAAAAAATTGAGAAGGCCAAAAAAAATTAAAAAAAAAGAGCCAAAGAAAATAAAAGTAACAAAAAAACGTAAAAAATGAAAAAATAAATAAAAAAGCTTTTTTAATTGACCCCTCATCTATTGTATTTGTATTTAATTTCTATTGTCTATTGTATCTATTGTATTTGTCTCATCTATTGTATTTGTATTTAGTTTATCACGATTTTTTAACATGTAAGTTATCAGTTTATACTTGTTTTAGCGTGGTCTTTAATCTCAAATTATATGATTTATATTTGCAGAAAATGACCCCGGAAAGCAATGAATCCTCGAATTCTCGAATCAGTGAATCTTTGGAACGCATTTCCCGACCCTACTTTCAATGTCCCAATTCCGGCCCAGGACGGCACCTACATGGCCGAGACTCTCACCAACGATTTAGACATCATGGAATGTAAGGTTTGATGGTTTTTTTATAGTTGGGGATATTAGTCGTGGAAAAAAGTCCTGGGGCCTGTCCCACTAACAAATCGTAGCGCGAATCACGAAATGGAAGCGCGAAAAATCATGCAAAAGCGAGAGAGGTGAGAGAAAAAGCGGGCTCTCTCGGAAATCCGCGCTACGGTTTTTTTGTGCTAAATACCGAAATGTGTTTACTTTTTTGGCTGTAACTCCTTTCAATAACGTCCGATTTACATGATTTCAAAAACCATCGACAAAGAAGACACACAGCTTCCAGAAAATGTGAATTTTGTTTGCTTTAACGCGGATTAAGGCTCCCCGCCAAGACGAATTACATTTTCCTCCTCAAGAATCACGATTCCAAAATGTCGTATTTTCAAGTAAAATGTATCCTTAAACTACTCATCATAACCCCCAAAGCTCATATTGTCATTTATCAGCCCAAGCTGCCCCTTCCAAGCCCAAACTGCCCATTCCAAGCCCAATTTTGACCTCCTCTTGCCATAATTTGTTTGAATCACAAAAACATTTACGTTTTAAAAATTTTTTTTAAAAAAATTATTCCATTCGTCTCCCGGAGAGACTGGGGGCGTTTTATCAGCCCAAATTAGCCCTGCCAAGCCCAATTTTGATCTACTCTTGCCATAATTTCTTTGAATCAGAAAAACATTTACGTTTTTTTTTTAATTTAAGTTTGTTTTCATAACAAAAAGAACAAATTCATTTGGGATAACAAACATTTTCAAATAACAACGGCAAGCGAGATTAATTATCCTATGAGACGTTCCAGGAGTGTCTCCGTAGGCAATTCTTCGGCTTGATCGACGCAGTTGAGGCTGAGAAGGCTCTTCATGCTCTCTCTCAACTTGTGCTGGGATTTCTTGAAATCCCAGCACACTTACGTTTTAAAAAAAAACGTAAATGTTTTTCTGGTTCAAAAAAATTATGGCAAGAGTAGATCAAAATCGGGCTTGGCAGGGCTAATTTGGGCTGATAAAACGGCCCCTGTCCCTCTGGGAGACGAATGGAATAATTTTTTTAAAAAAAATTTTTAAAACGTAAATGTTTTTCTGATTCAAAGAATTATGGCAAGAGGAGATCAAAATTGGGCTTGGCAGGGCTAATTTGGGCTGATAAAACGGCCCCAGTCCCTCTGGGAGACGAATAGAGTAATTAAAAAAAACAATTTAAAACGTAAATGTTTTTGTGATGCAAACAAATTATGGCAAGAGGAGGTCAAAATTGGGCTTGGAATGGGCAGTTTGGGCTTGGAAGGGGCAGCTTGGGCTGATAAATGACAATATGAGCTTTGGGGGTTATGATGAGTAGTTTAAGGATACATTTTACTGGAAAATACGACATTTTGGAATCGTGATTCTTGAGGAGGAAAATGTAATTCGTCTTGGCGGGGAGCCTTAATCCGCGTTAAAGCAAACAAAATTCACATTTTCTGGAAGCTGTGTGTCTTCTTTGTCGATGGTTTTTGAAATCATGTAAATCGGACGTTATTGAAAGGAGTTACAGCCAAAAAAGTAAACACATTTCGGTATTTAGCACAAAAAAACCGTAGCGCGGATTTCCGAGAGAGCCCGCTTTTTCTCTCGACTCTCTCGCTTTTGCATGATTTTTCGCACTTCCATTTCGTGATTCGCGCTACGATTTGTTAGTGGGACAGGCCCCTGGGAATTTCTCGCGGCCCCCAAACTCCGTCGCGCTCCGAAAAGTTGATTTGTCGCGGGAATCGCGCGCGACAATAAGGCAAAATCAACAAAATTGCACTGTGCAAATGCACTTTTCGGGTTCATGCACAGTGCAGAGTCGCCGAAAATTCCCAGGACTTTTTTCCGCGACTACTATTAGAGAACTCTTCAGATTGTTGCCACTTGTTTTTTGGTGGTTCTTCAATTGTTTATTTTATTTTCAGATTTTGGTCCAAGATTTCTTCACTGCTTTTCGGATGTAGAATAAAAAAAAGAAAAAAATAAAAAAAAAAAAAAAAATAAAAAAAATAAAAAAAGAAAAAAATAAAGAAAAGAAAAAAATAAAAAAAAAAGAAAAAAGAAAAAAAAATAGAAAAAAATACAAAAGAAGAAAAAAAAATTATTTGTTTAAAGTTACCCTTATTTTTCCCTTGTAATGTTAGTTTATCTTATCGTTTACCACCCATTTGTATCAATGTAAGTTGTCATTTCATTCTTGAATTTACCCCGGATTTTTATTAAACTAATGATCTATTTCTTCAGAAACCCATCTCTCGAATCAGTGAATCTTTGGAACACATTTCCCGACCCTACTTTCAATGTCCCAATTCCGGCCCAGGACGGCACCTACATGGCCGAGACCCTCACCAACGATTTAGACAACATGGAATGTAAGTTTTGATGGTTTTTTTGTAGTTGAGGATATTAGAGAACTCTTCACAAGGGAATGGACTTTATGTGTAAATCGATTTTGGCTTGGGACCTAGTCAGATCGAAAGGTGTGCAGAAGTCGATTATTCACTTGGGGGGAAATCTCTGCGCGGGGCTTCAAAGCCGAGAAAATCGGCTTCAAAGTTTGGACGAAAATCAAAGGATAGGGATCCCGGAAAAGGAGCGTTAAAAAGTGTGAAGCAGTGTCCGAGTGGTCAGTGCGCTCGCTTTTTGCGCAAAATGTTGCAAGTTCGAGTCTTTCCAAGCTCAAACCATCATTTATCGTTTTTACTTTTGCTTTCTTCATGCTAATCCGGCTGTACATTTAAAAAAGGGGTATAGGTAAAATTGTCTAAAAAAGTTATGAATGGAAGCAGATTCGAACTTGCGACCTTTTGCGCAAAAAGCGAGCGCACTGACCACTCGGCCACTGATTTACACTTTCTATTGCCCCTTTTCCGGGATCCCTATCCTTTGATTTTCGTCCAAACTTTGAAGCCGATTTTCTCGACTTTGAAGCCCCGAGCAGAGATTTCCCCCCAAGTGAATAATCGACTTCTGCACACCTTTCGATCTGACTCGGTCCCAAGCCAAAATCGATTTACACATAAAGTCCATTCCCTTGTCAGATTGTTGTCACTTGTTTTTTGATGGTTCTTCAATTGGTTTCTGTATTTTCAGATATTGCTCCAAGATTTCTTCACTGCTTTTCGGATGTAAAATAAAAAAAAAAGAAAAAAAATTAAAAAAAAGAAAAAAATAAAAAAAAAGAAAAAAATAAAAAAAAAGAAAATAAAAAAAAAGAGAAAAAAAATAAAAAAAAAAGAAAAAGAAAAACATAAAAAAATAAGAAAATAAAAAAAAATTTTTTTAAGTAACCCGTATCCTTCTCTTCTAAATTTTACTCGCCTAATAGTTTACCGCCCATTTATATCAGTGTGAGTTGTTATTTCATTCTTGAATTTACCCCGGATTTTTATTAAACTAATGATCTATTTCTTCAGAAACCCATCTCTCGAATCAGTGAATCTTTGGAACACATTTCCCGACCCTACTTTCAATGTCCCAATTCCGGCCCAGGACGGCACCTACATGGCCGAGACCTTAACCAACGATTTACACAACATGGAATGTAAGGTTTGATGGTTTTTTTATAGTTGGGGATATTAGGGAACTCTTCAGATTGTTCTCACTTGTTTTTTGGTTGTTCCTTAATTGATTATTTTATTTTCAGATTTTCCTCCAAGATTTCACTGCCGTATCCATAATGTTTACCACCCATTTTTTACTACGTAAGTTGTTGTTTCACCCTTGATTTTACCCTGGATTTTTGTCAAACTAAGGTCTATATTTTCAGAAACCTAAAGTTAGAAAAAAAAGTCGACATCGCCTTCACTTACGCCACATTCCCCGTTCCGTTTGCAACACTCATCCTTCCCTCCCACTCGCACCGCACCCCTCCTCCATTCCACTCCCACCACACTCCTCCCCCATCCCACTCTCTCTTCAGAATGTAAGTTTCGTGGTTTCTTGGTAGTTGGGGAAATTATGGATAGCTTAAGATTATTGTCAACTCTTTTTTGAGGGTTCTTCAATTTATTCTTTTAATTTGCAGAGATCTCCAAGCCCCATGTAACGGATAACTTTAAAAAAAATAAAAAATAAGAAAAAAAAGAAAAAAAATATAAAAAAATAGAAAAAAGAATAAAAAAGAAAAAAAAAAAAAAAAAAAAAAAAAATAGAAAATTAGAAAAAAGATACCACTCCCACCACCCTCCTTTCCCTTTCCCTTTACCTCCCACTCCCTCCCCTTTCCCCCAATCATCAAAGCCTGCTTTGGTGATTAAAGTAAGTTGTTTTTTCCCAATTGTAGGCCTTTATTTCTTGTTATAAGTCCAGATACTGCTCGTTCTACTTTTAATCTTATTTATTTTCATGGAAATCATTGAGAATCCGTTTCTTGGAGCCCTGGAGAAGTTGGAGAAATCAATGGTGCCCTGGAGGTCTCCACCGCGGAAAGGGCAGAAAGGTATGTCAATTAGAGTGATAAATTAGGGCATTGAGATCTATAAGGGATGCTGCGAGCATTTTAAGTGAATAAGAGTTTAGTTTTGCAAAAAAAGCCCGTCATCACGATATATTTTTTGAAAGGTTACGGTAGAGATAAGGGTTGTTTAAAGTCTGATTTTTACTGCGGTGTGAACGGGTTACACCCAGGTTTATAAGCTTAAAAATATAGCTAGGTGTCATTTTTTTTTGATTATTAGGTACATATGAAATGACAGGCGACTTAGAAGGTTACTTTTCTTGTGATTTTTCGGAAGAATTTTAGAATTCTTTCTCTTTTTAGGGAGGTTTGAGGGAATTAAAATATGTAAGGTGCAGTAAAAAGCAGTTTATACGAAGTAATGACTAGTTCTTGTCATTAATCATGTCGTCATGACGGTATTGGGATATTTTTATATTGCTAATGAGATGATTAACTTTCCTGTTTAATTTTTCGCTTTTAAATACATTTTTCTTTCAGAAGTACGTCCAGTATGGCCTTATGGTTGAAGAGCAAGCTAGAAGTGAAAGTGGAAAACAAGTTATTTGCCGAGCCCTGGAAACGGTCGATTCCTTGAAGATGCACAGTGCAATTGTTTGGAGGTAGGCGAAACTTTGTTAAAAAAGGGGGTTGGTTGAATTTGGATTCTAAAGATGTAGCTCGCTACATTCGTGGTCTTGACGGATTTTAAAATAGTGTCTGACGTGTAGGAGTAGTTGTTTCTTTGTGAAGTTTCAACTTCTGGTGTGTAATATTTGATCCTTTTGAAGGGTAAGCGTTGATAAAAGGCACTTTTTACTGCAAGAAGCATGTGATTTAGTGGTGTTGTACTTGTTTGCGAAAGACTTTGGGGAATTTTATATTGTTCATAATAGACCAGTTTCGTTTTCAAATTTTTCCATTTGTAATTGAAATTTTTTTCAGGTTGCGTAGTTTCTCTACGAACCACAGTTCATCTTAGAAAGAAGTGTCTGGAGCCCTGGATACCAAGATCAAAACCATCATCGTTTAGGATGAAGAATGACAGAAAATTAAAAGGTGAGTGGGTTGTGGGTTATTGATATAAGATCTGTGCGTTAGTAATTTGAGGGGCCCTTGTCGAAATTTGTTGCAAATCCAGACTCGGAGCCTCCCCGTCAAGAATCACGGGAATCCTGCCTGTTGTCAAAAATCTTTTGGTCTCTCCCAGTCAAAGAGTTTTTGACTACGTGAACAGTCAAGAATCCCGGGATACTTGACGAATCCCATGATTCTTGACTGGGAGGCCCGAGTCAGGATTTGCAACAAATTTTGACAAGGGCCCCTCGAATTACTAACGCACAGGTCTTATATGGTTTTAAATTCCGCAGGTATATTATGGTGTATTCTGATCAAAAATCAGGCAGTTTAGTTTATGGTTATGGGGTCATGACAATTTTGGACCCTTTTGGTATGATCCATTACATCAGGTGTCTGTTGAGTTGACGTTTCGGTTTTTAATATAAAATAAGGGGGTAAAGTAAGTTTAAATGCGATAGACGGATATGAATACTAATTCTAGAGGGGTTTTAGTCTCTATGATGACAATTTTTTTTGGGATCCCTGTATTGTTCATGAGATTGTTAACCTTATTTTTGAGTTTTTCGCCTTTCAATCTATCTTTTCTTTCAGATTCCCTCAAGTCCCACAAGATTCAAACAGTCCAGGCCACTTCCCAGCCAATAAGAAGAATCTACAAATCTAATTTGATCTATTTGTTGTTGTTGTTTTTTATTTTTTTGTGTGCTTTGAAAGGGGAAGGGGAAATGGGAGAAAGGGGTCGTGTGAAGAAGGTAGGTGGTAAGAGTTGGTCCGAATGATTCAATAGGCAAATTGATGTCGAATTTTTATTCGGGTAGGTGTTAAGGGTTTTTTCGAGCGGTTCTATAGGCAAATTTATGCTGAATTTTTTTATTCGGGTCCCGTACAGAGCATGCCTTGTATCTTTATATTGATGGTTTAGTCCGAAAGTGAGGGTGCCCTGAATATCTATAGGTTTTTGGCTGGGAAAGACGCTGAATTGTGCATGGGTTTTCACGGGTTTATCGACCGAATTACGCATCCCTGGGAACATTGGGAAGTTTCGGCCTAGCGGATTGATTTTCTAGGAGGGTAGTATATATATGGGGGTAGGGATAGCTGCAACAAGGGCAGTTGGATTAGTGCTGTTTATCTTGTGTCCGGCCGTAAAAGCGCCATTTTTGTCGGTATTGTGTTGTTTGAATTGTGTATCGAAGCCGAAAATGGCGGATTCATCAGCGAAAACACCGGGAATTGGGTCCTGGGTGCTAGTCCGTCTGGAAGGCCGCCGGACTGAAGTCGGCGACATGTGCTGTGCGAAACCAAAAGTTTTTCTTTGCAGTGCAATTTCTTGCTTTCTTGGGATGGCTTTTCATCACGTCAAAAAATTTTTTCATAGCGCCAAAAAATCAGTCCGGCGACCTCCCGGAAGGACTATTAGCATTTTCACAAAGTGCCAGGACATTTTATGCGGTCCGCACCGTGCACAAAAGCCCGCGTTTTTTGCACCGTGCATTGATCTTTCTTTGGTTTTGCACTGTGCGTTTGGAATATCGCTGCGACGTAACTTTTTCTCAACTGCGCCGCCGCGAGAATTTGCACAGTGCAAACGGTCTTTTTTAGGCATGCACGGTGCGCAGAGGGAACATTCCACAATGCTTTGGCGACAGAACTGTGGAACATTTTTTCGCTGTGCGACAGTGAAAAAATGTCCAGGCACTTTGTGAAAATGCTAATATCCAGGGTCCCGCTGGTGGGTAAGCTCCCAGAATCCGCTGGTCTGGTCTTCGGCTTCCAACGCCGTCAGTGCTGCATCCTCTATTTTTGTTCTTCCTATCCGGCCAGCTGCAGAATCATTGTAAATTGGACAATGGGACGCTTATGGGCCTCCGAATTTCCCCGCAGGTTGCGGAAGTGTTATTCTTTCAGATCGTAACCACCGTTTGTAGAGGTGGTTGCGACCAGTGCAAGAAAATTTAGCAGATGTCAGACCAGCTTGCAACAGTCTATGGAACTGTTGCTGAATTTTCATCCATGAATTCTACCGGGTGACCTTCGATCCGAAGTTTTTCGGGTGAAAGTGAATCATAAAAGGGTATTTGAAACGGAGATTCTGCATTGACTCCTATTCAGAGATTGCCACGGTCAAAATTTCGGCTCCGGCTCTTAGCTCCCAGAGCCGGAGCGAGGCCATGAAAAACTTAAAAAGGTCTGCGGCTTCGAATCCCGGCTCCCGTGCGTTTGGTTTAACAAGATTATGAAAATTTTACTTTTCTGAACCTGAGATCTCTCAGCTGAGAAGACTGGTCCCGACTTTGGGCTCGGGAGCCGGAGCCGCACCCAAAATTTCCGGCTCCCGGCTCGGAGCCGCCCAGAGCCGGAGCCAACGCCCGGCTACGGAGCCGTGGCAATCTCTGCTCCAATTCTGCTTTCTGTGGGCTGGCAACTTCTTGTCACAAATTCGACGGTTTTTAATGATATAACCCCTGTCGGTCATCTCTTTCACCCTAATTTATCTTGGGTCATCATTGATGTCTAGTGTAAAATGGATTTGTTAACAAAAACACCAGGCGTGCAGTATTATCAAATCATTTGATGCTTTCCCTGGTAGTAATGATCTTGTCAATTCACTTCAACACCTTAAATTATTCTTGGTCACCACTGATGCCTAGTGTAACATCGGATATAAACCCCCACGAGCGCAGTTTTGGTCAGGAAAACATGAGATTTATGGGGATTTGACAGTAGCTTGCATTAGGCATGTTCAGAGCTTAAAAAGGCAAAATCGGGCCCATTCGTTTTCCGGGTTATCAGTTTATTTTTGAGTAATGAGGGGTGGAGAAAAAATAAGATTTGGGAGGATGAGATCAATGGAGTAATTTCGGAGGGGTAAATTGTCTGTGCTCTCTATAAATAGTGGGAGTAGTAGAATTTTGGAGAATATACACTGCTGGACAAAATGATATGACCACCGCAATTTTGCGCTGGCAATTTGTCCATGGTGAACGAATTGCTTTAATATTTGGTGAAAGTGAGTATGGAGCAATGTAACATGTACCCAAAAAGTATCAAAGGATTTCAAAAAGTGGTGAGTAAAATTTGGAAAAACGCGGAACCGCCAAAAATCGGCTGGACAGAATGATATGACCACGTGGTTTAATTCAATCTTTTACTAATAAACACAATTTATCAAACAATCCTAGTAATGAGTGAGTACTCCACTGATTACTAGGGCTGGTATGGGGACACGTTCGGCAAGGTTTAGACGGGTTTTAACGCGTTAAACCATGTTTGAAGCAGAGCTACCCAAACTGGTGATTATCTTCCATTAACGCTTTCCAAAACTTTTAAATTACGTTTTTATCATGTGATCTAGACGTGTAATCACATGTACAAGCCTCCGCTTTTCGCACGAACTCCATGGTGGTCTGGTAGTGTGGATTCAGCTAACATCCGGTTACCATGTCCAGCTTTGGCGGCCCATTTGCTATTTGACGCTGGGGATAGATGTGCTCCTTAGGTTTAAAATGTAACCCGGAATCTCTCTAGAAACCGGCG